AGACTTCCTGTAGGTTTTCAAAACAACTCTTCATGTCATCCTTCCCTCCTCCCTACCTCCTGGACTCCCCCCTCTCCTCCGCCATCCCACTGCCGCTTCACCGATCCTCCCTCGCCTTCTATTCATCACTCCCCCAGCCCATTTTACAGTATCTCTCCGTCTCCTTCCTCCATCCGTTTTGTGCGCTCCATTACCTTGCTTGTTCGAGTCCCCTTCATCTCACCCTTTTTGCCTGTCCAACCACCTGACATGAATTCTCTTTACCCTCTTACTGTATTTCCCTGCTCCTCGCCGCCTTCTCCCTAACGCCATTCATCTCGGGCTCCTCCGTCCATCTTCCCTCCTCCCTCGCGCTGTCAGGCCGCGGCACTAGCGCTCCTCTTGCTCCGTCTGCCAGCCTGCACTCTTGCTGACAGTGCTGTTTGTGTGAACTGAGTGCCGAGGCTCCCATTGCTCCCCCCGCGGCCTCTTCCTCCTCTCTCTACCTCTCTACCTCCTCCCCTCTTTCCTTCTGCCTCCCACCTCCATTCCCCTCCAGGCTGGGGAATTAACCTTCCAGCTCGAAGCTTAATGACTGTCTGTGGGGCGAGCCAGCTGCTAACACCTGGGCCACACACACCCACGTGTACTGTCAGCCCAATCACCACAAATAATGGATTCATTGAGTTTCTCAGCTAACTGAAAATCTACAGTGGGTCAGAGAAGCAGGCAGTTTGAGCTTGTTTGAATATCAAATAACCAGGAAAGAATTAGGTCTTCAGCTTTTAATGAATGCATTCTGACTTTGAGTTTATGCTTACTTGGGTTACGAGAGTTGGGTTTGTCTGTGGAAGAAAGAAAGCAAACACTAGGCACTTATTGGATTGGAAAGCATCAACTGGCACAACAGTGGGTAAACAGTACAGTACACTGTAAAATGTCTTCTTTTTTTTACACCTTGGAAAACATGTGTTCCTAATGTAAGCTGGTTTGTCTCTGCACAGATATGACATGTAACTTGGCCTGCTGGTGCCTCCTGTTGGTTTCCACAGAGAAATGATTAACGTCATAACCATTCAGAAAAGTTACAAAATCCATCCATCAAACAAACCAACCAACCAATGCAGAGCATTACACCATTCAAGATATTACAAAGCTTCTTATTCACACTGTAGTTGCCTTGTCTAGACAGTGTCTTTGTATTCAACTGATATTAATGAGTTTAACATCTGCAAAGGCTAGGAGAATGAATGCAATATCTTTGAGATTTACTTCTGGTTGCTATATAAATATATGTTTTTTTTTTCTTTATAGACAGGTGCTTTTATTTACCCTTTCATCTGCAACAGTATAATGTAGGAGTTACTTTTCAGTCCTTTGTGACAGAGGTTGGTCCATCATTACAGGGCAGTCAGCTCATAGCACCAGAGGACACAATCCAGATCACTACCAACAGAATACACTCTCCACCACCATAAAGGCTTTGCATAGGGGATCGAAAGAGAAAAGAACAAGTGTCTGAACACAGAGGATCAAACAGACAACACAAGAATCAAAGAAAGCCAACAACACATGACCTTTAAGCTGCCCTAAGAAGCATTCAGTATGCTCCACTGAGAAAATTCCTACAACCACTATTTAGTTTGTAGTATATAATTGACAAAAGCAGGAATCCTGAGCAAAAAAGAAAAGTTTGATTTTGTTTCACCAAATTTTGTCATCTGTCTCCATCTCAGCAGTAGAGCAATCGACCCAGAGTAGTCTGTTAAGGAAATGCTGTTATGTGGATACTCTCCACTTCATTCACTATGGATGAGTATAAATGCTACAAATTCATAGCTGTGAAGACATCCATGTTGTCTATATATATTTTGACTTTCCAGTTCAGCACAACAAAATGCTAAATAATCAGAGATATGACAAAAGGAAGTTTCATTACAGATAGTAACCTCTTGTATACTATAAATGCATCCTGTACACATTTTGGTGCGATGATCAGAGCTAGTGTTTGGCTGCTGGTGGTGACCCTGTTGTAACTCTTCTTAAGCACACCACACTTCCTTGGTTGTCTCCCACAGATTCTTTGTGGATTTTGCCTGTGTAATGATTGCAAAGTGTAAGGGGGAGTCCCATTGGCATTCTTTAACATCCTCGTAGCTCACTCCTGTTCAGAGAGTCATCTGTAGATCAGCCAGACTAAAAAAGACGCTCCCAAGCTTTCTGCGCAACAGGTAAGCCTCTCTCATGCAAATGCACACACCTATTCAAAGATTCTTAAGCTTTTTTCAAGAATGAGGTAGTGGTACGCCCTCACATAATTTCTTCAGTGCACCCTGGCAGGCAAGTGTGGATGGTAAAAGAAGGTTAACTTTTTTGAGAAGAAGTTGAGCAAGCCAAAGGCAAATCATAGTTTCTTTGGGTCATATACTTGCTATATGCACAATATAATCTAGCCATAGAGTGTAAAACATTATTAATGGACAATGTAGAGAGTTGCATCACAAAGGGCACTGCTGGTAAACTATAGGTTAAATTAACTTGGGACTCTTTGGAGACAGATGAGTCACAAGTCAAAACACTGGAAATACAAAATCAGTTCAAATTTATGTGCTTTCAAGTGATTCTTTCAAGTCATGACTGTTATAGTTAACAATAGAACACAAAAATACACACAATGCTTTACACAATAGACAGTAATTGAGTTTAGTGCAAAAAAGAAGGTTATGTGTTGAATTGTGAGGCCAGAATAAAGGGTAAAGGAACATTTTATTTCCAGCAAGCATGTTAACCAATGGCATGGGACTTGGCACTGAACAAACTGAGTTGCTGGATGATGCTAAAAGAAAAGATTACAAAGCAGAGTAGCACTGAATTGGTCAGAGGATGGGTGATGTCCTTGCTGTGAAAGCAGGAGGCCTTGTGTATAGGAGCAAATCAAATCTCGTTAAAAGTTTTCCCATTTGCATTTGTGAGGACAAGGTTAAAAAAATGTCTGGCAATGAGCCATGTTGTTATGATAATTTTCTCCTCAAATAAAAATGAAATTACAGGTTGATGAGTTATTTTACCAAAAACTAATGAGTAAAAGAGAATGTATTGATTCTTTTGCAGTATTTTTATTATATATTCCACACAAAAATAACATAAAAATATTACTACTTGCTACAGCTTTATGGTCTACGTATTGTATATCCAGCACCAAAGTGAAACAGAATTAAACTAAAAAGGAAAAGCACAATATATGGAAAACAACAATACCCACTGTTTGTATATCTATGTGCATTCAAAGACAAATAATGATGGGCATTTTAACCTCAGCAAAGAAGGATTTTCCATTGACTGAAGAGGGAAATAATTGTCCTCATACACTCAAAGAGTAAGCTTATGTGGCTCTGAAACAAATGTTTTGGGAGCGAGAGAAAATAATTGAGTGCAGGCTAATTCTTATCAAAGCCTGTTGAAGTGCAACTAATCGACTGAGGGGAGATGCGTCAAAGAGCTGCTCCCTCCAATTCATTTTGTCTGTTCAGATGAGAAAATATTTAGTTTTCAATTAACTGAATCACTATTATTTGTTTCACTCCAGTTACAGATCATTTGAAGTGATTATAAACCACAGTGGGCCCTTCAGGTTGATATAGCCATGCACGGGCACCGCATGCCCTTGTACACTTTCAACTTCACCCTTGATCGCTTACGCAGAAGAAAAATAGTGTCTATCTATATAGTAAGAAGGTTATGAAAATAATTCATTAGGAGAATTCCAGTCAGAAGGTTTATACTACCATGTTTTGGCCAATGTTTTCATTTTTACCCTAATTTAATCTAAGAATAAGTTTGAGCCAAATGCCCATCCTATTCCTGCTGAAAAGCTCTATTTATATTCTATATGTTGTGATATGTTATGACTGAACATTAAATATGGGGAATGTCAAAAGCCAGTTACTAATGGTATATCTCACATGCAGAGTTGCCATTCCCAGTGATTGTTCTTAATTATTACTGCATTAAAAATAAGTAATCATTTCAGCAGCTACATTCTTCATATAATAGTAATTGCAAAATTTAATACACTGAAGCTTAATTTAACTTAAAAGTAAAACTGTTGCAAAAGCACTGCAGATCTAACTAAGAAATTAAAATCTCTATTAAACAGGCCTAGATACATTATTAATGCAAACTGAACAGTTACACTGATTATGTTCTACAGTGCCCTGCTCTCAATGAAGGAATAAAACTTAAATTACCATCATCAAACAGAATAAATCGCATAGAGTATACTCCTATGAAATGTCATCATGATGATGACTGATGAATGATTTTTTTTTTTATTTAGATGGCATTCTGAACCCTATATGGTACTTTTGCCTGTACTTTTGTCTATAGTGAGCAGAAAATAAACCTACCTCCTGTCACTAAGGGTCAGTAGGCAAGTGGGGGAAGACTAAAGGCCGAATTATAGTTCTGCGTCGACTCAGCGCACACTGCTGCCATCGCCTTGTCACCGTCATTTTTGATTTATGGATCTGCATCAAAGTCTATGCACCGTGAAGTAATTCACCGCCACAGCGCTAGGAGGCTGGGTTTTAAAAATGGCATTCGTGTATACAAAATGAAATGGGAAAGCAGAGTACCGGAAATGTATGTAGAGCAGATTTAGAGAGGACCAATCATAGCACCGCTGTCTGTGTCATTTCGACGGGTAATTCGAAAATTTTGGAGGTGCACGTCAGTCGACGCAGACACTCTAAGGACGGGGTCCACGGTGACACAGACTCTCTGCATTGAGATGCAGACAAATTGACACACAACCATAATTTGGGCTTAACATTGTGCCTTGGTAAGGGTCTGCATTTCTGGAGTTCTTCTAGACTGGCTCTTCAGTTCCTGTTCTTCCTGTCTCTATAAAGTCATGTTTTTACAATTTTCTAACCCTTAACGTTCATTGTATGTTTAGTATGTTCAGGGACAGTGTCTGTGTGAAAATGGACATGTCATCACTCCAGGTTGTGTCTCTAATTGGACAGCTGTTTCTCTTGATGTGTGGTAAGAGTACATTTATCTTAAATTAGTCATTTAGTTATTAGTTATTAGTCTTAAAGTGTGCAACTTTATGAATTGATACAATGATAAAATGCATACATTTTTTCAAAATATATTTGACATCACAAGCAATGGCTACACTAATAACTATTACATTCTTCTGTCACTACTAGGATGTACAAAGCCGTGATTGTCAATGAGATGTAAAAAAGTACAAATCTGAGTGCGAATCAGTTAATCTTTGTTGAAGAACAAAAAGATTTTACGTTTATTATTAGTATTGCAGCAGTCACAGTGGGAGTTGAGTATTCATGTATGTAAAATGTATGCAAATGCATCACTGTTTGGTTGTTTGTATGCATTCTCAGTAATGGCCAATCTTGCCCTTCATATTTGACGTGAGGTGACCGGTTCAGCCTTGATCCGGGAGCTCTGCCTCTCATTCATGTTGTCAGACGCAACAGAGCATGCACTTCACAAACAACTTGGTCATTGCTTCAATGAAGGTCAAGAATCAAACAGGCGCCTCCTCTGTGGGGCATTGTTTGAACAAAAAAAGTATTCAGATATTAACAACTAATTGGCCTGCGCACTTGCATTTGTCTCTCCAAGATGAATTTATTCAGAAAACCTTATGTATAATAATCATTTCACCAGCTCTGGTGTTAGAGGGAGATGCAGTAGGTGGTCTGGTTTAAGGTTACCTTTCTGCACCACCGAATATCACCTCAGAGACTGCCTGAAGGATGCCAGCCTTTTGTATGACAAACAAGAGGGATAAACGTGATAATCATTAGCTTTCCCAGGAGGAATTAGCCAGTGGGACATCAACAGCAAAGAAAAAAAATTTTGGTGAATAAGGTCTCTGATAGCCGCTGCTTCCTTCTCACCCAAAAGGATCCGCACGGCTGAGGGCTGATATAATTTGCAGTAATTACTTTATTGACTCATTTTCAGTGCCATATCATGGCAGTTTGCCATCAATAAAACATATCGCAGCATGAATAATGCGGTCAAACACAACAGGCATCGCTCATAATAGTGCACATACACTTCACATGTCTTCACCCTCTTCGCTCTAATCCCACCTTCATTCAGTGCTGTCATCTTTAAACATGTCCAGGCACTGGGGCTCAGCAGGTGTTCCGGTCAGAGCCCAAGAACCTGACGGTGCGGATGGGGGCCACAGCTGTGCTCAGGTGTGAGGTGCTGCGGGCCTCAGGGACTGTGCAGTGGGTGAAGGACGGCCTCCTCCTGGGACCTGAGAGGAGCCTGCCTGGCTTTCCACGCTACTCCATGATCGGAAACCTCAGGAGAGGTAAAAGCCTTTCTCGGGGGATAAAGACTACACCAAATTGGGCTACAGCAGACCCAGTGGAGTTAAAATTATCACTATGTGAAAAGAACAAATAGCACACAAATAACCAAAACTATACAGCTGACATTTTGTGGATTAAGTTGAGGAAACCAGGATATTATTTGGCCAGAAGGAAAGACGGTGAATAAATTGGGGGCGTGGTGAACATCAGTGTGTTTTACAGTGTAATGGGAACAGGGCTTAAGAAGAGATGCTAGTAGTGGTTAGAAAAATATACAGTATCACTGTGGCACAGTCAATTCCCAGTTAACTACATGACAACTACATGATCAAAACAAATTAAACAGTGGCCAATACTAAAATTGGCCTACATGTTCCATGAAATATATCTAATGCTGAAAGTTATATGTATTCAGATAAAATAACTTTATACTAATGTAAAAAATATAACATTAAGTAAATCAGGTGACTCAAAGCAATAGAAAAGAGCATCTGGGCCAAGGCATTGATTGTCAACTGCCTCTCACATGTCCCTTCAGTGTCATTCACTGGTAAGAGAAGAAATTAAAGCAGGCAAGTGTCAACTAATCAGTGAAATGTAGCCACTTATAATGTGTGTCACAGAATGCCTTCAGTATAAAAAGTAATGGCCAATTAGAAGCTAAGACAGAGTAGACAAAGAGCATCTGTTCACGATCAACTCATACCTCAGCATCACTATCACAGTACACCAACAATCAAGAGCAGTCTACAGCACACCGAACCTGTAATGTCTACAGACCTACAACACACTCTGTGAATGCACTGTTACTTTACACACTTTGACTTTATATCAACTGTAACATGTTTATGAATATGAACAATCTTGACTGTGCTAATGGGCATCCAAATAATAAGCATAAACTCTAAAAGGGCAATCTTAGTATACATGCAATCAGAAATAAATATAGCCACTAACATCTAGAGAAAATCCAAGTGTACAATGGTGGAAGCAATCACTCCACAGAGCACTGGAAAAGCAACATCATTCAACATGACACTTGACTGCACTTGATACTGAACCAGCTCCCACTGATTGTCTGCATCACTCACTGATGTTTACGGATGCTTAAAAAAGCATGAAATGCTGTTTTTACACACACAAGAGACCAGGGTTGATTTCAACATATACTTACAGTAGCTCCAGATACTTTGCTATCAATTGTGCCTGACTTTCTGATAGAAAATATATAAACTTTACCAGAAGCTCATTTTATGTTGAATATAAAAAGTAATTCTTTCTGATGAATCTGACTCAGACGAAACATTAAAAGCTTCCTGCTCATGGTCAGAGCTCAAGGGAGCAGCAATTACACTGGTGAGATGATTCTGAATGAATCTTAAATGTTGTTTTGCATCTCACTTTAAAGTCAAGTGACAGTTCCCTAAAGACATGGAGATGTGATATGTTTCTGCTGTAGGTATAACTGTAGCTACATGAGGTCTAATGTCTTCTTCAATTAACATTTGAAATGAAAGATTCCCAAGGATGATGCTGTGAAGCTTAGACTTGTTAGTGTTAACTCAGTGACCGGCTCCCATACACAACCCATAACACATCTTTAGCAGCTCCACATCACTGAACATACCATTAGAGTTAAAATTAGACAAATTTTGTAAGAAATTTCACACATAACCTTTCACATCCATAGGGTGTTACCAGATCATCAAGAACAGCATCTACAATACCACTTCATTTTACATGTTGCATTCAGCTAGCCTGACCTTTACTAGTTAGAGAATATGTCTTCAGCTTTTAAGCTAACCATACTAAGTTGGCAGGGAACAAGCTCAGCTACAGGAAAATAGTAGGTAATCCTTTGAGTCACAAACTAAAATTTTACATCTGAAATAAACAAAATGTATCTAAGACACTGACAATGCAATTTCAATTATGGACTATTTATGGAAAAGAAAAAGGAATATGATTATTAAGTCTTTGGGTGCAGAATGAAAACTTTCGCTTGTGTGAAAACTGTGGTTGGTGCTAACGATCTTGCCAGTTTATTTTGACACGTGCAATTTAAACCAGCATGCTTGTCAAACTGAGAAACTATTTTTTACATGATCATCTGCGAGCCAGGAAATCCAACAACACCAAACACCGAACAGAGACTAATCCTAACAGGTTATGGCAAGGCATCAAATAAATGAGAGCCTGCTGGCATGCAAATGTAGAAATATAGGGGACAACTCTGTCTGGCATCACTTAACAGATAGTTTATTCAGTCATCATTGGAAATTAGATGAAATGTTATTAGTCATACGGGAAATTTACTCTGATACAAATGTCACTGATATGAGTTCAGACAACCACATACTATAAAATGAAAAAGCTGCAAGAATGGGACGGGAAATGATTTATGTGACTCAAAATATAAATAGTTCATTGTCAGAATTCAAATTAATAGTTCTGATATTAAATGTAATACTAATTGACTTTATTGTCAGGACTGATAATGAAGTTAAAACAGTAAGTAAAAATCAGCACAGAGTTGACAAAATATAGCTCGCAAATATTTTATATGAACTTATACCATTATTTTTTTGTCTTTGCAGGACAGTATAATCTACAAATTGAAAATGTTCAACTAGATGATGATGCTGCCTTCAACTGTCAAGCAGGTCGCTCTGAAAAAAGTGAACCGATCATATCCAACCTGGCCTGGATCAATGTGTTAAGTAAGAAAATGTCATTTTCTTTTTGCATACAAGACTGTATCTAACCTTACCTTATTTACAAGTACTAAGGAAAATTGTATTTAAAATGCCATGTAATAATCTCTTAACATCTTTATAATCAAATTCAAATATGTCAAGGAGAAAGTAGCCGGGTAACTATTCAAACATTTACATTTTCATCCTCACTCTTTCGACAACACCCAAAGCTTTAACCAGCTGTACAATACAAAAAGAATCAGTCGAATTCAGTCAGCCTTGGGCCTTCTAGCATGTCTCAACCTTGCACAAGAAGAAATTATAACAGCAGTGATTGAAAAGTTCTTCGTCGCACACACAAGCTGGAAAGGAGGTAATTGTGCGACTACACTGGACCACCTGTTGTCATTTTATAACAACCGCTGTCTCTCTCTCAGGCTGCCTATTCGCCGGCTTGTGGGAGTGAGTCCATATGTGGAGGGGAAGGAACCTGATACCTTTTCTTCGACAGACCAACACTTCATTTACGTACACCCCTCTCGCTTCATTCTCTCCATCGCACCATTTCTCCTTTTCAGCCTTGCACTATGGCAAGCGTGGAGAGGGGTTTTGTGAAGAATGAGCGGTGGAGGGAGGGGTGGGAGGGTTGCTGTGGTGATTCTAGCCACCCTAGTATTCTCCTGTTGGGAAGAGAGCAGCTTTTCCTGACATGAGAGGAGAGGAGGGGGCCGTGGGAGGCTTGGCGGCTGTTGCGGGATAGGGTCCTTTTGAGGTTGCGTTGGACTTCCTGTAGCATGCCGTGGGGTACACCTGCAACCACAGCAGGGCTAATTCCCACATTACTTACCTTGTAGTCTGGCTTTTACCCACAATGACGTAAACAACACTGCTGCTGTCTGCATTGTTGGAAAGGTCAAAATGTGTGGGAATTGTCTTCATGTTGCGTCAGGGATTGCTTGTAGTTGTATTTGTTAAGACAGCAAGTGCTTGGTTTTTCAGATAATGGCCACATCAGAAGCCATGTGTCCATCCTCAGCTGGTGTTTTTGTCTGGGCAAACTGGGAACACTCTCCAGCTGTTTACTCCACAAGATGGACAGTTGCAGCTGTGTTCCTTCCTTACAAAGGGATCACAAGAGTTTATGGATTGACTGAGAAGAAATGCCGCAAGCTTGACTTCTGAAGGGTCATTTGTTCCACACCACCAGCTCAACTGATTCAAAATACGTGACTAATCCTGGGCTTGATAATGAGCTGATGAATTCAATCTCCTGTTAGTGCTGAACTGGGACTGGAAAAACTGTGCATCTTTTTTGAAGCGCGCGGTCTCTGATGAGTTCCCCGCGGACTCCTCCATCACCGATCTACAGCTCCCGAGGCCCCCACACCCCTCGCCAGTCAAGCATGGCCGTATCCCATCAAGCCCTGCATCAAATCAAAACACTATAAACTCTTTATGATGAGATACAGTGGAGGGAGACAGTGGGGAGGGAGGGGGAGGCTAGTGAAAACAAAACAGAGATCGCTGCTTGTTATAATTGGATTCTTGGGTCAGAGGGAGTGGTATCATGACTGGCTAATTTGAGATGGATCACCACGGGCAGTAAATAGCAGGGATGGAGGCAAAACTGTCAATAAGCCTCATCTATGGCTGCACAAAGATGTTTTTCCAAGACATTTTCATTGGTGCAACATAACTCCTGTGTGTTTTTGCCTTCCTGCAGAGCTTAGATAGGGGATTACCGCAATAGGCAGATCAAGTGGCAGTGAGTAATCCATGACAACAACAACCTCTCCCCCCACCACCCCTCTAGTGAAACTTACCCCACACTGTCGCATACCTGCCACATTCAGTTGAGCTTCATACCATTAGCCTTAGTATTTAATCCTATTAATGAACAACTCGCACACATGCCTTCCGCAAATATTCAGAAAAACCTTCATTTGATGTGTTCTGGTTTTAGCTGCTGTTAGTCACCCTTTTGCTTAAAAGAAGTAAGCTTATTATCAGTCCTGTTGGTTGGAGGTTAAAGGACATTTTAAGGAACCAGGGAGCTACTGGTGTGATTTTTTTTTGCAGTAGCTAATGAGTTTAGCACTTGAAGAGTATATAATGAGCCTCCCTTTTTGCAATTCCCTGTTATGAATAATGGAGAAACTTATAAATGGGGGGCACATAGGCGACATAGAACATGGTGACTTTTTTCTTTCTGTGTTATTGGATGAAATTTCACAATTGCACAGAGATGAGTCAAAAATCAGGAGAGGGTGTGTTAAAAAATTGTGAGCACCAGTCACATTACAGATTAATGGTGAAAGGTTCAAGGCAAAAATCTGCAAAAGCGAAACTATTAGGACTCCTCCTTGTTCCAAATTTGAACTCTGCATAATCTTAAATCTTATTAAGCTAAATTTAGTAGCTTCATTTTGCTTGTGACATCTTTTGTGAGACTGTAATTGCCATTTGGAGAGGGCTTCTGTCAAATGGGAGCCTAACTGTAATTTAATGGACACAAAAACAAAAGGTATGAGAGGCAGAGAGAGAGAGAGGGGGCGGGAATGGGCGGTTCTCATTTCTGTCCTCGACACCTGCTCCACTTCTAACCCAGACGGAGGAGCTTTCATCGCCAGAGATCACACACCTGAGACCTACACGGAGGCGATGAATGCATATGTACAGAATTCTATGTGCACTTTTGTGCCACATGGAAAATCAATGGCTTTGGAGTATTAGCACTCATGAGGTCTAATATTTTTTTGCTTCCATTATATTCTTAATTTAGCATAACAACTTTCTCACAGACTCTCATACCCTGTGGGTTTAATTCTTTTCTACAAAATCAGCTTGGTATGACTTTTTTTGTCTTTGCACACACCAGTGTCTGTTTTGGGTCTGAATATTAAACAAATGAGTCACTCTTCTGCACCAGTGTTTGTGCTTACAAAGTTATGGCATGCAATTATGTAAATTATTTGCCTTACTGTGACTTTCTGATAAGATTCAAAAACATAAGTATATATTGTAAAGCATAATTTGCAGTAAGATAAAGTAAGACATTTTCCAGCCAGGAATAATTAGTTTCTTGGCATAAAACAGTGGTTCCCAATGAAGGGTACATCACCACACCATGGAGATCAGGGGTATGGCACTACTCATGTGTTTATATAGAACAATTTCTAACACTCAAAGGGCTCAAGTAATATGCAATAAAAGCAAAGCAATTACCAAAAATATTAGGAAAGACTAATTTTAAAATACTACACAGTTTGGTCTACTGTTTAGACTAAACTATATAATAATAAAAAAAAAAAAAATATATATATATATATATATATATATATAATATATATATATATATATATATATATATATATATATATATATATATATATATATATATATATATATATATATATATATATAAATGATACTATAACATAAGACAAGGATTTAATTAAATCTCAAATTTAACAATGAAAACCACAGATTCTGGTGGTGTATGTCTGCAATATTTCACTTGAATAGAATACTGGAGCTCACAGTTTCTCCTCTGAACTCTAGGAGTGTGCTTGTCTATTTTGGGGTTATATAGATGCATTTTAATCTTAGCTGCTCAAAAGCAAAAAAAGACTGAGTTTGAATCAAAGGCAGTAAAAAACAGGTGTGACAGGCAGTAGACATGGCCGGGAGAGAAAGAGTTAATTATCAGAACAGTGTGGATCTGCTGCCTGTTCTCTGCTCCTCACAGATCAGCTGAAGAGAGAATACAATTTGTTACTTCCCACGAGCTACTGTACCTGTCGCATTAGTGTGCTCCTCTGCTTGGGCTGATTGGGTCACGTGCTTTAGCTGAGTGGATGTGATGGATGTGGGGCTGCTGCTCCAGTCCTACCCCCGCACTTCTGCAGTTTAACCGCAGTGGTCAAGAGGGATGGGTGGGAGAGGGGTGTGCACTGTCTTCACTGAGCAATGATTGAGTGAGCAAGAGATTAGAGAAATAGCCCCGCATAACTAATGTAAGAAAAAAAATGAGATACCTGCCTGTCTCATTTAGAAACATATCATTATTCTTATTTTAGCATTTGTTGGCTCCTACACACTCTTCCTGCACAACAAGTGATGTGCTTGTGTGCAGCGTATATGGCAGAGTAGATTGAGAGTGCAGGGGCTGTCAATAGATGCATGGCCCAGTCATCTTCCCAGGGAAGAGGGGGGAAAACAAACAAATGCATCTCATTATTGCAGCGTGCGCTTCTGCAGTGCTCTGGGTAAGCCATCACAGTCCACACAGATTCAATTGCTTCTTTTAAATCAGTTTGAAGCTGCAGCCACATCTCATCTGTCTCAATAGTAGACTAGAGCCAGGAAGCGACACTGCGCACAGCAACAGCTCCTCCTAGTGGTGAGGGGGGAAATATATGTGACAGAAGTAGGTTTCCTGGCAGAGTTGAATCCACATGGTCCAGCAGATTAGACTCAGGGGTTTGAAGGGAAATTGTCACAGAATTCAGTAGAAACTGTAGCTGCTGCTCTCCGTCTAACCTGTCCAACATTCACTCTCTCTCTCTCCTGCACAGCCAGACTCACACGTTTCTACAGCTTTCGCACTTGAATTCTGATAAAAGCAAACAAACCTGAACAGTGAGCATACTTTCTGATCTCCCCATTTGCTAAAAGCTGGCACATAACAAACAATCCATTTTTTTGTGCTACACACTGTATTGACCTTCTCATCTTGATAAAGAGAGGCTTTCACATCCAAAGACAGCTCTTTGATGACTAACCATTGACAGATTTTCTAATTTTCTGCCAAATACTTTTTAGTCCCTTGTGCTAAAAGCTTTTTCCTCTTGCTGGAATTCCTATTTATGGTCAGATAAAAGGATAGTGGAGAAGAACAGTGGAGAAGCAAAGAGTGCTTTGATCAGCAGAGAAAGCAGATATTTAGCTTGGGGCTGATCTGAGGAGAGCAGAGCTTGTTGTTTGTTATGATAGATTAGCATTGGTTCAGCTTCACCACTATTTCAACACTGTATGCTCTTCATGTCCACAATTTGTATTCTAACTTGACACAACAGCAAAGCTAACTGTAGTAAATCACTCAAAAACTGACAGCGTGACACCTCGTCGTCTGTGATAGCAGCTGCATATTTGAACCCAAATTTAATGTGATGAATAATATGTTAGTTGCCGTGACGAATATAAAACATGAGCTTCTGTCCTTCTGATGCAGTTCCTCCCTCCGAGCCGTACTTTGAGATGGACATGCTACAGTACTGGGTGGCGGGCAAGAAGTACTCTGTCATCTGTGTTGTCCCTGATGCAAAGCCGGAGGCTGAAATCACACTTTACAAAGGTGAGTCCGAGTTTCACCTCTGGTAATGTGAGAGAGACATCCAGCCGGACACTTCTGAGACAGAGAGGGCTCTATTGTATTATACATTCAAATTCTCTATAGGTCACAGCCTGATTTCTCTAACAAAAAACAGAGGAAACAACCAAGCAAGTTCATCTCAAAATAAATAAATACATTCTTGGAAAAACAGAGTTGTTTGGGGCAGAGTGGGAGGATAAAGCCAGGGTCATCTGAATTTAAAACATCTATTCATGTAAGATGACAACCTTCTGAAATCTCTACATTTTTTTCCAAACTTTCTATGCAAAATCTGCAAGCAGAAAAAAATCCAGCTTTATATGATTTTTGCAAATGCAAACGTAGATTCTCAGCATTACATTGTCACTAGCGTACGGATGTCTGCTAAACCAGCTTTCCACATTGCCGCGTTTGTAATTTCCTTGTATTTAGCATAGAATAACAATGGTGTTTTCTGTTCACGCTAGCGCATTTACCAGCCGTCCTGTGCTGCTTCTTATGGGCCCATTGCTCATTGTGTCTTGCAGATGGAGTGGAGCTGACAGGTGCAGAGTCTTTCACCATGTCTGGCTCAAAGGATAAGCTCCTGAACACGCGTGCCCAAGTAACGTATGTGCTCGTCCGCCTGCCAGACTCATTCTCCTCACCGACCCGCTCAATCTCATCCAAACCCTGCCTTTGTTTTCCCCCTGCTTTCTTGTCTTAGTCAGTACAATGGATTTCTGTACCCAGCAAACTGTTACTTGGCAGCACGCAACTGAATTAACTTTTGTCAAATGCACAAAATTACAATGTTGGTGAGCAAGATACATCTGATCCTTGCAGCTTCGCCAGGTGGCTATACATTAACCAAGGCCATAGATTTCTTATTATCCTAGCCGTCTCCTCAGCGTCAGAAATAATAACCTCTTGTCATATTTTGAGATAACATTGGTTTGCGAGGAGCTGCAACATTGTTCAAGCCGTATTATAGAAAGGCCGAGGTCTTAAGTAATATTGATGCTCACTCCTCTGTTCACACTGAGCGCACGCAGCAGTGGGCCATGTGTGATTGGTACAGCTGACATTGCACTATAATTTGATGTAGAAGATATATGCGGAAAATAAACCAGGCAGGCTATAGATGCACTGCAATGCCTGTGACTATAAAGAGACTTACTGGAGCAATTCACTCATGCTTTTAGCACTGTCACACCCCTCAACTAACTTAAAACATGCGCAATGGACTAATCCTCCAGCCAGGTGCTCCTTGAAGGATGAGTTAAATGCACAAATGTTCCAATGGGAGGACTATAATCTAAGTATACCTTTTTTCACTGGGTTTCAACATTATTCACGTGAATATAAAAAATAATACAAACTTTTAATCATTGCCTTTTAACACAAACAATTCTCAAAATTCTCACTCCATAGTCTGAACTCAGCTCCAAACCACAAGCTTCTACTAACAGAGGATTGGCTGTGGACCAAAGACCCAAACATTTCACTGACGATTAGCAATGACTAATACTTGATTAAAATTTGATTAATTGCACTGCCCTAACTTTAACCTTCTCATTCCAGGATCACAGCTTTAATTTCTGACAACGGACGCCAGCTGTCATGTCATGCCAAAAACTCTGCCCACTCCAGTGCCGTGCAAGCTACAATGACTATGAATGTGTACTGTGAGTGTCAACCTGTCTCTTTCAGTGCAACCAACAACCAGCCTATTTCAAGTACACAATAATGTGAAACACTATGCAGGACCCAGAGGGAGCCCCAAGGGTACCTAGACTTGTGCACTCAGTCTGCGTTAGTGGTCCAAAGAGAAATATTCGACCTGAAGGCAAAGTCGCACTTCACTACTTAGGGCAAAGCATCAGTGTGACTGCCTCTGGTTCTCCAGGGTGTCTCTAGTGGTTTGGGCTCCAAAGGACAAGAACAGCAAAAGGGTACAATAACTGTTCAAAGTGAATCATTTAGGGCAGAGAAGAATGAAGAAGTTAAGTGATGCCTAAAATGCAGGACATCACAAGATTACTCAAACATGCATGAATCAATGAATATACAACTTTGAGAAAGCTAATGATGAGGGAAAACCATTACAACATTATTCAAAGCTCCTACAAGTAAAATTTAGCAAAACACAAGTTCCCTTTAAGTCTGTCTACAGGCATAGTTGTCACAGTATTACCTACTGTTGATAAAACATATTATTAAGTAAATTATTTTGTAGAAGCAGACTAAAATGTGATACAAGAAACATATTGATTAGTTCAAAATTAAAACTCTGCATAAAAAAGACTTTCTTGTTATTATCACAAGCACAGTAAGTTGATATTAAAAATCGTGCAGCAGCACAATAAGATAGAGTTGATAAGAGTTATAACCACATTCAATTTGTATTTTTCATTTCTCTTGTTGTGAAGCAAACAATAGAGGATATTGTTGTACACACACAAAGCTGTGTTTACAGATTTTACATTTTTCTGCTTCTGTGCTGTTCAGTTAAAATAATTGATTGCTAAGGCTTGAGAGTCTACCCACCTGCTCCTGCCCAAGTCTAAATCATGTTGTTGATTAAAGTCAAGCAGGACGCTTGGCACCTTGGGCAAAAACTGTTCCTCCTCTGCTCACTGGGATATTATCTACAGGCTGACTAGACACCACAATGTTGTCTCTATACTCCTCCACATTACACATTTAACAATTGCCAATAAGTGCACACTGCCATTCTCCCCCCTCTGTATTAAGGAGGGCTGTGTACTAAGTGCTAATGTTGCAGAACTTGGGACCACCGCTGCAGTCTTACTCAGCATGCCAGCACATCAAACCCAGCTCTGTGGCCATTTTCAGCCAGCCAGATTGTTAGCAAGGTAGCAATTTGTCACACTGGTCTGGGGTCTGCAAGCCTGCTCTCCAAAACGAATTGCAGCAATAACAAAGACCCGTCCTCCCCTAATTTATTTTACTGCATATATTTTATTCTAGGAGGCTGTAATCTATTCATATTTCACGTTGCCTTATTACTGTTTGAACATCTGTTATTTTGCTTTATGGACTGGATACAGCTCACTGCTTCCTTAATGCCTAATGCTTGCACCCAATACAGTCCTCTACACTGTATCCAATTTACTACTTTTATATTAACAAATTTGGAGCTTTCACCTTAAAGAAGGGTAGTTTGCGCGTTCCTGTTGGTTTAAAAAGGGAACTACAATCACAACTGAACCTGGGTTGCCAGTGCTTTAACCGGCTTAAGTTTTGCTCAATATAGCTAATACAGGGCATGTCTCTATGTTAAGGCTCAAACCCTCAAGAATTCAGTCATTGAGCTGCAGAGGCTGCACTAGCAGCAATTAATAATTGGCTGCAGGTGCAGGGGTTTGGTACTGAGAATTCAGATTAGAAATTCCTTTAGGTTTAAACCACTGAATATTGGCGTTTAAACCTAAATGAGAGACTCATTTGAGACTTTCTAATTGTGTACTCATGTTGAAAACCAAACTAACCAACATCAAATGTAAACAACAATGGCTATTATGTCAAATGTTTTTGTAATCAAGCATAAATCAACAATTACAATGATTGTCTGTTAGAACTATATTTATAGGTCATGGTTGTGAAATTTGAAATAAAATTTCTATACCTGTTAATTGAGTCTTTCAATGTCACACTAGGGGTGAATCCACCAATAAGATTACACCTTCTTTCTCCTGCCTGTGTTGTTATTATTTTTTTGTTTCCGACACCCCTATGTGCAATTCTCCTTTGTCAAGTTCGTTTTTACTATGGTTCTTGACAGTTCCACCTCAGCCTCCAGTTATTTTGGGCTTGGAGAGACAGGAAGTCAGAGCTGGGACAACACTGGTGTTGGAGTGTGTGTGTCAGTCTGGAAACCCCCTAGCGAATCTGCAGTGGACTAAGGTAAACTGCATAGTGGCATATATCAGTGTCACATTTTTGGTTATGAAAGCAAGCTATACTTTACAAAGTAGGTTATTAACAATTATAGAGGATACTTTTTTATTTATCTTACTTGACAGGATGGGGAGGTTGTGCTGAAGACTTGGGAGGAAGATGCCATGGCTCATACATCCAAAAGTGTTCTGTATCTGAAAATTCGTCCAGCAGACAACCAAGCGGTACTGGGCTGTGAGAGTGCCAATCTTGTCTCCGCATCCCCTTTGTCCACCAGCCGCACCCTCACTGTGATCTGTGAGTGAAAAAGTTGATAAAAACAACTGTCAACACTAGTACTTTCACACTGCACACTAGTGACTGTTACTAACACAATTATGCACCATGATGATATTCAAAGGCTCTTCATAATTAGCATCTACAGCACTGAGTAAGGTAGGTAGAGTCTATCCATGGTTCATTGCTGTCAATGCCAATTCATTCATGCTTATTTACAGATATTGTACTTTCTTCCCACTGTGAAAATACCAGACATGAGTACTATTTCATGTTTCATCCTCGCAAATGCATTAACTTTAAATGACAAATCAGATGTTTCGTCCAGTTACTTTTAACTTAAGTTACTTTAGGAGTAGTTTTTTGGACTTCTACTTTGGACTTAGACTTGAGAAATATTGTTTTAAGTAAATTTTCTCTGAATTTAGTACAGTTTGTTGCTAGTTTACCCAATTTTCATGGACATCAGTGACAGCAACATTGACGGTCACAGGTAAGTTAGTTAGCTTACTAGAACTCACTACTACTACTAAAGTCAACATCTTGGTTCTCAGGTGAGCTTTTTATGCTATGACTGAGACTGCTACTTATTTATCATTAGCATAAAAATATGTTGTCTAATTCACTACAATCAAACTATTTCAGGCATAAAGAGTTCTCTGTATTTTCCAAAGATGAGTAATATTACTGTAAATATAGAAAAAAAGACGATAATTTTTAAGCTAAGGATACATTTTCCTTTAAAGTTGTCATTTGTACTTTACCAACTTGGCTTCAGTATGGCGGTGCGTTAGGAAATGTTTTCGCACGTCTTGGCTTAGCAAGAGTAGACGTCAGTGTCATCGATCCTGAAATAACTTTATAGGTAAATCTTAGCGTTAGGAGTATGTTTTTTGTTTTTGTATTTGTTATAACTAACAAATTGTTACATCGAGGCAAAAAGCAACTTCATGCAGAGCAGCGACAGAAGCATAAAGGCCTGAGACTGTACATGCATATTCTTATACGCATTAAATTACAATTATCAAATTGTATTATTAAAAACAGATATGCATACGTCAAATGGACCCAGATCTAGTAGCCTAACCTACTTCCACACAGTTTCTCTGCTACCAGCTGTGGAGGCTCTACTTGCATAAATCCTTGCCAGGGCTCGAAGCGATGGATTATTAAGCATATGGGCATGAGGGAGAGGAGTATAATAAGAGACTTACCTCCAAAACTAATTCTTTTGCCGTTCAGCATAAATTCTAATGCTAATATCATTAATGAAAACTAATGGTTATTATGGTGGAGGAGTCTGTTGCAGATTAATATCATCGTGTGCTTTTTCACAGAAACTTGCCAATTTTGCTCCAGCGCTCTCCTCTGGCTATGCAGCCTACACATACAATAGTAATGCTGATTGTTTTTTTTTTTTTTTTTTTTTTTTAAGTAAGTATAAAATATTTCTCTCAGCAGCAACAAATAGAATAGTCTCTAATTATAACCTAATTTCCACTACAGAGCCAGGCAGCTGAAAATATGAGTTTGCTAAATGCTGATTAATGCTAGTGGTGTATGCAAATTATTGCTTTGAACTGAATAACTCTCTTAATAAATATATGTTTTTGTTATTAAAAAAAACGGTGAGTGAAGTCTCTCCAGTACAGTGTATTTTGTCAGGATGCCAACCTCCCAAAGGCCCCAGTGCCCTGCAGAGATGCTGAGAAAGAACTGCTCCTGCCTCACTGTGCTTTAGGCATTGTAAGAAGCTTCAGGGCACAATATTAGTGTCACTGGTGTACAATAAAAGTAAACCACTTGTATACCTGCTGTATTGTATCCGAGTATATAAACTTTTTTTCCACATAATTATCCAGAGCGCTACATACAAAATATTTACATATATGATGCCCTCTTTCTCACCATGTCTGCCAGCTCAGTTCCTCTTCTTTGTTCCCTGAAGGGTTCGTGCATCTGTGTGCCCGTAGTTTTGTACTCTGTCTTCTCCTGTCATTAGAACCATACTTAAAATCTCATGAGAAAACATGTTGCCACTCAAAGTGATTTTCTACATCAAACTTATTTTCTTGATAAATTTCACATACAAGAATAGAAGCACCTTCACTGAACACAGTATTTAGTTGCTGAATATGATCGTGGGATGATGCTGCCAGTGATGCTGTTTTTGTTTGTTGGTTCTTTCTTGTCTAACAGATGACCCTGCGGAGGTAAAACTGCTGGGCTCTTTTGTGGCCACTGAGGGTGAGGAGTTGAATCTGAACTGTTTTGCTGCATCAAGTAATCCCCCGGTCCAAATCCGCTGGTGGCTGGGCAACAAAGAGCTCAACTCAACAGCTGTCATAATGGAAGAGGTACGTCCACTTCTCTTAAAATTAACATTAAATTAACACCAGGCTTATTTTGAGCTTCAAATAGTGATCATGTCAGACTTTTCAAACTGAGTCTGCCAGAGTCTGGCAATCATTAAAAGGCCTTCTAGTGAAGTCAAGTATAAAAACAGTGTGAAATTTGACCTCATGTCCACATCTGTTGATGAGGTGAAATGGCTGACCATGAAAGTCTGAATAGGGTGACTGCATCTCTACAGTGACTGGGCAATGATAACACAAAGACCGTTCTGCTGCTCTTCTCCTCTTTTGTGTGTACTAATATGATCAAAGTGAATAAAAGCTGACACAGAAGATGAGCTTTATTAAACAAGCTCTTTATTCATCTGGCAGCAGCATTTCCATTTGATCTTACACGAGGCACTCACTGTGTGTATGTGAGCTTTAATGCATCTGAAACAGTGTGAGGTTAATGAAGACTGACGCTCCTGTCCAGCGTCTTTGTTAGTCTTTCAGACTGGGGCTTTTACAGTAATCACCACAATAATAGTTTTAATAAGAAGATGTGCTGCACAGGCATGGCCACAGCCAGGCAGGTGCAAAACGACTGGAGTCAGATGAATATGTTTATTTATTATAGGCCTTTTGCAGGATTGGTTATTACAGCAGCTAATTTGCCATCTGTATTTTCAAAGGCCCTTCAGCATGGCTTGTTTTTCTTCTCTGTGTTTTTTCCTCTTCCTAGATTATAAATGCCACCAACCAATTTGTAATAGTTGCTTTTGTGTCTTTTTAGGGAGAAAATGGTGGGATGACAACCCTGTCTAATTTGACCTATCAGGTCTCCAAGCAAGACAATGGCATGAAACTCTCTTGTGAAGCTTTTAACAGGGCTACAAAGGTCTCCAAAATTGAAAATGTTGAAATTACTGTCTACTGTGAGTAGTAGTAAAACTGTATGAGTAAAAGTCAGTATTCAGGTTGCCATTGCTTCACATCACCCCTAACACTTAAATAAAAATACAGAAAAATTGTTGTTCGAAACAGACCCCCCTCAAAAAGTGTGGATTGATGGCCCTTCTCAAGACATCCCTCTCTTTGCTGGAACCAAAGTGCGACTAGTTTGTTTCTCAACAGGAGGAAATCCACCTGGCAACCTGCACTGGTACAAGGTTAGACTATTACGCAGTATATGGGCTTGCCTTGGTGTATTGTATATTGTGTTGGTGCTCATTGCTAACAGCACTCTTTCTTATAACAGAATGGAAAGCCTGTACAAAATGCATTTAGATCGACTTCATTTGATAAAGGTGTGACTCGAGAGCTCCCTCTTGTCTTGTCTGCGAGTGATAACATGGCATTCTATCATTGTGATGCTACAAATGAAGCAAAGAAGACCATTTCTGCCAAAATCAGGCTTCAGGTTCTTTGTGAGTTGCCATACACATACTATATCATGACAGTTGACAGATGGATTAAAGGTCCACTTTGTCACTTTTCTTGTGGAGGGTCCGTCACCTCCATCTCCATTGATATGTTGCTGCTTTGCCTGGATTGTTCCACATTAAAATGATCTCCATGAAGAAAAGCAGGTGACAAGTTACAGGTCAGATCTGTGCGGAAGAAAACCCTGTTCAATGTAAAGGCGTGTTTTTCAAGCAATTAAAACACCTTTCACTTAATAAATGCAAAATATGAGTTAAAGCCATACATTCCAGCCAAAGAAATAACATTTTTATGGAGAAAAGTAGGTGGTGTACTCTTAATCAAAAATAAATTAAACATTAAACAATTTTTTGCTTTTTTGTTTTGTTTTTTGTTTGTTTGTTTCTTCAGTTCCAGCTATATCAATGAAAATCACTGCTAACGCCGACCACTTTTATCAGGGCCAGACTGTAACTTTAGAGTGCAATTCTGGAAGCAGCAATCCCAAATCCAATATCTCCTGGAGCCTGGGCACACAAAGGTTTGGCTAATCACAGTGATCCTTTATTGGAACTGTCTGATAGTTATCCTGCTAAATATGCAAATGTGCAAGATTGCTTATTGAACCCTACCTTGCCTCTTAATGAGATTGCTGCTGGATGGTGTTTGTGTCCTAGGTTCCAAGGGGTGGATCAGCCTCATAGGAAGGCAGAGTATGGTGGCTTTTCAGTGAGCAGTTTGCTGTCACTGAATGTGAGTTCACAACTTCACAATCAGAGGGTAATTTGCCAGTCTCACAGTGCTGAACTACCTGAGGGAGCCAAAACCTTCTTGAAGCTCAATGTGCTTTGTAAGTAGATTTGAATTATGGGTTATCTTTTTTTCATTTCCTTGTTTTTAATCTCTCTTTTTTCTGGCAAAAGGCCAAGAGATGAACGATGCATAATGATGATCTATAATGGTGCAGATGTTTGCTGCTTTGTTGGTTTTATCCTGTGCTCACGTCACTGTATTGTATTATGTGTGTGTGTATGTTTTTTTGTTTACTGGGAACCTTTGTTGTGATTTGTGAGTCCGTGGAGCTCTGCGGCAGTGTGTCCTAATTGTGCATTTGCTTTGCTGCTTGGCCATGTTTGTCTTTGATGCCATTTCACAGGCAGCAGCCAGCCACTGCTTCAAAGCCTGTGACTGTGTGTGAGCATGAAGGAATGTCAGTGTGTGTTTGTGCCGAGCTGACGTTGGACAACACTACTGTCACTTATCGTTTTAATGCATGTCCCTGTGCCATCCGGGCGGCCACACACACCCCATCATCCACCAGTCTAAAGTTGGTTACATCTGAAATCATTGGTGAATGTCAACTTTCTATTGTGTTGAGTCTCATTATTGTCTCCCTTTGCTTTTGTGCCTAACATGTTATGTGTTCCTTCCTTTGTGCTGCTCACTTGCTGTGTTACTGTGGGCATAAGTTTGTGACTGTCTCATGCATTTCTGAATCAACTCCAACTGAACCATTTCTATGTGTTTTCTCTCTGTCAGACCCTCCTGAGTTTAGCTCGGACCAGCCAACGCAGGTGCAGGTGGTGGAGGACTACATGGCAACCATCCCACTGCTGGTCTCAGCGAACCCAGAGGAGGTCTCCTGCGTTTGGCAGCACCGCAGGGAGCTGGTCAAAGGTGATCTAGGGCTGTGTGATGGCTCTATAAACCAGCTCCTAGTTGAGCTGAGCCAGCAAGTAAGCACTCAGCTCTGCCATTCAGGGTCTGAATAAAACATGGCAGGTTAGCCAGCATGGGACCCTGCCAAATGTGATTCTCATTATGGCTCTAATGTATGCAGTCTAAATGAGGATTGCTGTCTCTCTGAATACAACGCAGCCATTCGAAAGCTGGCTTCTCCTCCAGGCCGGCGTCACTGCAGCCCAAGCTGCTTTTTTAAATATGTTTGCTCTCATCATACATAAATTTGTCTAAATGTTCTATATCCTGAATGTATTAAAAGTTGAAGCACTGTTGCACAGAGGGTGTCTCTCACTCAGCCTATTGTTGCCTTGATGTGGGAATCCAGCCAGGCCAATCAATAATGCAGGATTAGATGTCACTTAGAGACCAGTGGCCAGAGGACATGCAGTTGATGAGCGTGTAATGAATGCTTAATTTACCATTGGTCTGTGTGTGTGTAATGTTTTTACACAGGAAGGGATGTGCGCTTCCACTGGCCAAATGAGTTCACCCTGGAGATCGAAAATGTGACGAGGAGAGAAGCCGGATCTTATAAAATTGAATGTACAAATCAGGAAGGTGTGAGCCACACCACGGTTCTGCTGGACGTGCTATGTAAGATTTTACAGGTCCATCACCACACATAATAAAACTTCCTTGCTCCAGCAGAAAATGTAGTTATATTTTTTCATTAAATAACTTAAATTTTAAATTGACCTAATATCATTGAATTGTTTTTCCCTAGAGTTTTTAGCCTGTGATCATAAATATATTATTAAATATGGGGCAAGTTGCTCTCTCTCTCTCTATTCCAGCTAGAGAGAATCTGTACACATCTGTACACAGCTCCACAGCAGGACTGACTTTGAGCCGATCCAGCCCACATGGTTCATTCATTAGGCCTCCATGCAAGGCCATAGACCCCCATAGCTGCCCGAGGCCCAGCCTGGAGCACCTGGTCCACTACTCCTTTACTGATGATTTAATAATGGAAGTGTTGAAAATGTAGGTCTGTCTGTTTTACTAAAGCCCATGGTACATGCCTAATGGATTCCACTGTCCTGATCTGACTGACTCTGACAGTTGTAGATATTTATTATGTATGGAGAATTGTAGTAGCTTTTATGGGTGGCAGCGTAGCCCACTTAACAATGTCGGTCTTGGTTAAGAGGCCAATATAGTTGGAACCCACCAACCCTGAGATATGTCCCTCTTGTGCTTTCCACTGCTGTTTTTCTAGTGCGAACATAGGTTTAGACAAGTGGGCACTAATGGCCTTATTGTTCCAAGGAGATGGTTCTCTGGGGATGTATTAAAAGTTTGTAGAGGTGACTAAGGATGAAGACTAGAAAAGGCCGGAAAAGCAGAGGAGCTGTGCAGTTAGAACATTGTCAAGTGGAAATGCCACGATAAAGATACAGAGTGAATCTGCCAGTTCAGTATATTTAGATGCACATTACACTTTCATTTGAGGGCCATGACTATTCTTACAATGCAGTCTTCCATTATACATGGGGGTTAATGTTTCTGAAATGCTGAGGCCAATTAGAGCACCGTTATGAAGCAGTTCAAAGGTAAACGAGTGTAAGAGTAATTATTTCGATGCAACGTGTCTGTTTAATGGCTCGGCAAATGATTTGGCTCACGTTGGCATGTTAACCTTTGCTTGTTCCTAAGTCTTGTCCTCTTTTCTTACACTCAGATGCTCCCAGCGTTAAAGCAGAGAGAGACCCTGTATATGTGAACCTCGGGGACACTGCAGATCTGATTTGTGTGGCAGATGCTAACCCCATTATATCTGACATGTTCTCCTGGAAATGGCTGGTGAGGGCTAAATATACCCGCACACGTACACACAAGCAGAATGAAGCATCCTTCTGCTGAATTATCTTTCTGCTACCTGGCTTCTTTTCTATTATTTTAGCCATTCACACCGTTTATCACTGGCCTCTCTAAATGCATAGGTGCTCCATATTTCACCAGCCCTAACTATCCCTCCACCCCACCTCTTCCTGCTCAGCGCTCAGACCAAATCCAGAAAAATAGCTTTCATTACTGCTGCGTGACTAAAGGGCACATTCGTCAATGCGCTCTGGTCCCTGTATCTACTGATGCCTTCTTTGGTCTTACCCAGCCTCTGGCAGTATTGTGTGTCTTGCTTTTAACCTGCAAACCCCCCTCTTTCTTCTTTGTCTGCAATTCTCCCTGTGGACCTATGGCATTATCATTCTCCGTCCTCAAACCTAGTTCTTTCCTGCCCTTTTCATTGCCGCCTTTAGCCATGACGGTTTGGCCGCTCACTTCTGGCCCTGATGTGCGCTTGTCTTGCTTCTGGTGTGCCCCTTGACTTCAGGAAAAGGTGCAAAGGCAGTGAGGGATAGCTGCTGTCCCAGGCTCATTCCCAGTCGCTTTGTCTTCCACAGGGAGAAGAGGAGGTGGAGGAGATGGGAGAGGAAACTCAGGAAGATGAATCAAGCCTGCTGACCATTCATGGCGTGACTCGAGCACATGCTGGCTTTTACCAGTGCATTGCCAATAATGGAATTGCGCCCCCTGGCAGTACAGATGTGCAGCTGGTAGTGCAATGTGAGCTGGCTTGTGAACTTAGATTGTAATTGCCAAAACAATAACCACTGGTTCTTTTTGTTCTATATAGTTAAACCGATCATTCAAAAGGGGCCTCAGTGGAGGAAAGTGGCCAGTAGAGGAGATGGTACTACCACTGCTGAGCTGGCGTGCCGGGCTGAGGGTATCCCAAATGTCGATTTCATCTGGGAGAAAAACCATATGCTCATGGACTTTGAAAACCCCAGGTTAGAGACCACATGATCTCAATAGCTTTATTTATTTTATTTCTTTGGCATTTGTAGATTTCATTAGAATAACCATATATTGCATTTGGTAATAAATGAACTGACTGAATAATAGGAAACTGGGTATAATATCTTGATGTACTTCTAACATTTTTTTCCGATATTCATAGGTATTTAATTCTTTGCTTTTCACTATGCAAATACCTGTTTAATGCTTCTTTGATGTGTGAAATTGGGTGATTTAGTGCAATCTGCAGGACATCACAATCCCTGCTGTCTGCCGTGCTGGCTTTATCTCTGACTCTTTCTTTGTGTCTGGTGCTGTGTTCTGTGTGCATGGGTGTGTGTGTGTGCGCACACGTGTGTGTGCATGTATGTCTATGGCTGCTGCAGGTATGAGGAGAGGACAGTGAGGGAGGGCTCCTTCCACACCAGCACCATTCAAGTGGTGAATGTGAGCGCGCTGCTGGACTATGCCGTCTTCAGGTGCACTGCCACGCAACTCCCTCGGAGATGACGCGCTTGACATACAACTCCTCAGCACAAGTATATATATCTTTTCATTTTTAGTCTGTTTGAATTGTAGATTACTAAATGACCCCAACTGCTCATAGGCTAATGTATGTCAGATACTTGCTTACCTTCTATGGCACGCAGTCATGATTAATTTGTTTTGGGGCATTGTAATTGTATGCTTTTAACTCTAACAAAAGTTGTAAGTAAGCAGTAATATGAACAAAGACCTAAAATATACTAGCTCATGAGTGCCAGATTTATTGTGAGATTTTGGCAAGGCAATTAACCCAATAATTGGCCAAAATATTCAGAGGATCTTTTGTAGAACTATTTGCCACCTAGTGGGGAACAAACCCACACAGCTACTTAAAGCAGCAGCCAAATGATGAGAGAGAGAGTTCTGTCGCTAATGTAAGACTTATTCATATCACGTACTTGGCAGAGGAGTACATTTCCTTTGGTTCTAATTTGGCAGCATCTCAGAATAATTGTGTTGGTGCTGTCTTGTCCAAGCTTTATCAGCCTTTTCCAGCAGCATCACAATAGTGTGGGAGGCCCATTGAACATGGAACATTCAGTAAAGTGAGTGGAGCTGCTGCTCCTGAGTGTCAGCCCTTTAAGGAACTTCTTCCTGTGCTGTATCTGCACCTTATCACGGAGCCTGTAGCACTTCTCTCACAGATAATGCTGCAGTGATATGCTCAGCTCTCCAGTGTGCTCCAAATTTTGTGCCTTCAAGCGACCACTGCATCCTTGCTCCACTATTATCAGCTCAGTCCGTCTCACTAAAGGCCCCTGGCTTTCTTTGGACACGTAAAGTGTTTGCTATGAAAACCATAAAATACAATCCTGTATTCTGCCTGTTTTTTTTTTTTCATTTTAACACTGTGAATATCCATAATTAATCTGACACAGAGTTATTAAATTATGTATGCTCCCTTATCATTGAAGTGCCAAGAGGATTTTTTTTTTATTTGAAGGAAACTCAATCCAAATAAGACTGACCCTTTTTGCCCTGAAATCTTATGAGTGGAGCTGATAGAGGGTTATTTACTGTGTAAACAGCGCAGCCGCCCGGAGCTAAACACCAATGCAGCATCCTTCTCCTTAGTTGCTATGTGTCTGTTTTCTCTCCACCCTAAACATATTATGTTACTTTCCAAATTCACAATAATCCTCTTAATCAGACAGGCACTACCTGCATAAATTGTTTTGATCTTAGTTCAAAATATTCCTGTTATGGAGAGGCTTCATTAGCTACTGTCGGATGTTGGTCAGATAATTAGGCACGACAGTGTTGTAGAGGTACATGCTCCTTTAGTCATTCAACAACAAAGCACAGTTTTAGAAGCCTAAACAAACCAGCTGAATATTTTCACATAAGAATAAATTAGAGGAACCAAGTACAATTTTGTAGCATGTTTTGACATCCTGTTGACATTCTTGGTTTTGAAACTAGAAAGCTGCACTTTAATCTTTGCATTATGATTCCTTGTGAGCTCTACAGCAAAGCGCTCACAAGGAATCACAGGCCAGAGGGCCCAGTGTTATTTCACAGACTGTTCAAATAACCGCTCCATTATCTCACAGCACATATCTTAACCTTGGAGCACCTGAAGGCTTTTCAAATAAGCACTTATCAAGTCATGGCTTTCTGCTCTCCATCTGTATTAAAAAAAAACACACACACAAGTACCTTTACTCTTTCTACTCTGTGTATTTTGTGCTCTTAGATCACCCAGACCCTCCTTCATCTTTTCGCCTCGTCAGTGTCTCCTACGACTCAGTCACTCTGGAATGGATTCCTGGGTTTGATGGTGGATTGACTCAAAGGTTTCGTGTGAGGTAACTGTATATGGCAAAGTATTTTTCTTTGTAATGATATGTGTGTTTTAGGATTTGGAATAAAAAAGATTGAATGTAGAAAGTGTAATGCATTAACACTGATTGTGTTAATCGGCCATTGTCAGATACCACTGGGACAAATCAGCCAGTTTCCTGTACATGGATGTGTTTCCTCCCGGAGAGGCTACTTTTACTGTGACTGGTCTACTGCCAAATACCACCTACAACTTCTCTGTTAATGCCATCAACGCCATTGGAGAGAGTGGCTATGCAGACAATAATGCAGTACTGACCATCACCACCATGGGTCAGCTTGGTGTAACATTAGATCCTTACCCATACTGTACTTAGCATAATCTTATAATGCAAAACATGGCTTCATTCCCATTTGTTCTCATTTTTGTCTCTCTTTAGATTGGCCAGAAATGGTTGCTCCTACAGAAGAAGCGCACAGTAAGAATCCTATTACACTTTGCCAAAAAAAAGCTCTTAAGGGGAAATTACTGTTTGCATTATAGCTTGGTTTGGCACATCCATGTTAATATATGCATCACTTTTCAAAATGTTTACTTATTGAAGGCAGTGGTTGTCATGGTGCCCACGCTTACCTCATCCCTTGTTCTTAATCAATAAAGACAATAGAGAGAGTGCTTGGGTCTTCTATCTCTAATTTCAATATTACTTTACCTTCCTGTTATACATTAATCTAACATGCAATTGCTTTTTGTGGGGGGAGTTTCAGGTGCAGTGCCAACATACCTGACAGTGGTTTTCACAGTGGTTTTCGGAGTTTTGCTGGTAGTCAATTCGCTGGGTTGCTTTTTTGGACTAAAGTGGAGAAAGAAGCAAGGTCACACAGGTAAGGATAATGAGCTTTTAATCTATGTGCAGTGTAAGTGTTCCCTCCATCAATGCCCACTCCAATAATGTCCTGATTCTTCAACAAAACTCTAAAGAGATTACCAGCCAACCATGATGCAATTGTCTCTCACTTTCTCCCAATCTGGCCGCGTGGCTCCATCCGTCTGCCCTGTCTCCTCTTTTTCGTCTTACTCCCTGAACTCCCTCCCTCCTGCCACATTCATCCCTCACAACTGTCACTTCACTGTTTTATACATATCTTTTATCTCATTTGCCAGGCTCACGTCCTTCCTCCATCTTTGCCTTTGTCGCTATTCATTTGCGCTTCACTCTAACTGCCACTTTCCTTTTATCTAGGGTCTGTTTTTATCATCTTTTTCTGCCTTTTGATTTTTTACGTACTGCTAGGTTCAAAAGTCCAAAAACAGGATCTTGCGATGGTAAATTTCTATAGCTGAGAGCGGGACAAATTTGAAACTACTTACAGACAAAGACAAATGTTATTGATCCACAAGGGAATATACTTCAACACTGGAACTCAAAGAATACAATATAAAAACAATTCTTGATAACAAAGAGACAAATAGAATAGCAGAACAAATCTGAAAGCTAAGTAAGTAATAAGGAGCAGGGGCTCAGTCATCATCATCATCCAAATTTTATTGCAGACTCTTAGTCCAGAGTTAAAAGACTCACAACAATTAAATGTACAATATACTTCTTTTTGAGCACTTTGCATTCACTCAAAACTATTACATTCATCATGCAAGTGTAACATTTCTACTACTACTTATTTTTTCTAATTCTTTAAAACCCTGAATTTTTCATCTGGATAAACAAAAATTTTATTCTCCTTGGCCTATAATTATTACTACAAACATTCATAACAGTAAAAGTAAAGTTCACATTTATTAGTAGAGCACCCACTCAAAGGAATTAAAATGGAGTTCAACAACAGCAATTTGTGAAATGTGTATCATTTTCATAATAAAATTATATAAATGTAAAAAGAAAAAAACATGACAATCAAAAACACCTTTCAAGTTAGTGAGTATATATAAAAAATAAGTACAAATTTAGATAAATGTTACAAGTTTGTTGCAGTTTTCATCTGTGGCTATAAATCTTCACAGTGCTGTATTCAACTCTATCTGGCCTGGCTGCCACTCCCTCGCCTTTTCATTACACTGATCATTTGCAGTGTTCTTCAGATGGAGCCTCTTTCTGGCACTAATTTCCTAAGTCTGAGCCAGCTTCCCTGTGTTTCTGCTCACTCTGCAGGGGGTGTGGAAGGCACCGTGCCCAATGGAGCAAAGAAAGAAGAGGAGGGGTAAGTTAAGGCACTGCGGTAGTAAAAGTAATAAAGAGACATACATCCAATCCACTCTGAGAAGCCCGAGACATGATCCATTGGCTGTTCCCTGGCTGCTAAAAGAGCCAAGCAGGCAAAACAACAAGCTTCTGTCAATATCAATTTATATTAGTGCCATTAAACTTGCACCACAATGCAGCAATAAACAAATATACTAGATGATGTGATAGGGGAGGTGAAGAATTATTGCATTATGATTGTTATCAAAACATAAGAGCGAATGACAGACTGATTTCCCCCCTCAGGTCTATTCAGTCAACTGTAAGCAATAAGTATGAAAGCAGAGAGAAGATCAACAAGGCTGCCCAGCGCACTCTAATCATCGACTCCGGATCCGAGACAGACAGCAACCTGTATGAATCCTACGCCACGGTGAGAGAAAGCGAGGGAGAGAGCAGGAGAGGAGGGGTAGAGAACAGAGAAAATATGCAGGGAGAGAAAAGAGATAAAAAGAAGAAAGAGGTTATGGATGGGTTAAAGAGATCTGGCATAAAGGGATAGGAGAACTCTGCCACATCAAGCTAAATGGATAGATAATCTAATGAAAGCCCTAGCTGTTCATGGCGATGGAAAATGGATCAATATTACACAATTAGCATTCAAAATATACATTGATCTGGAAGAAATTATCATTTTGTACTTTAAAAAGGCCAACAAGGATTTGAACCTTGAAGAAAACTGTTGAGTGGGGCAAATAGAGGCACATGGGATGCAATGGATAATGAAATCTTAAATCTCCTCTGAGATGGGATTTATTGTGCCTGATATAAAGCTATACATATCAAGCAGAACCCACAAGAAGGTCAAATTTCTGATTCTCTTTCGCTACCTTTTCCTTTTTGCACACACATTGGTATAGAAACTACTTGGCATATTTTTGTTATTTCAGTACAATTAACAGTTAAAATTTACATTTTTTAAAATACTATGTACAGTATAGTGCTTATATAGTACTTTTCCAGGTGCCCAGAGTCACTTTACATTTCCATGCATTATTCATTTATTTCATACTATGAGGTGGCAAGTTACTATTACAGCCTCAGCTGCCCTGTGACACAATCGAGGCTGCCAATCTACGTCATCAACTCCTCCGACTACCACGAACCCTCATGCACACATCAAATTCATACAAGGAGGGTCTTACTTAAGGACACAGTGATAATATGCATTAGAGCCACTGTCACTCCACTGTGGCACCTGATATTCCTAGCGGTCTCCTATTAAAGTACAGACCAGACCTTCCATGAGCAGATTAAATTGGCCATTGACAAGATGGTGTGGCCAGTACAAGAAGTAGTTAATCATCAAGATAAGTCATTCTGCACTGTTGGAGCTCTTAAACATAAATTCTGCTTAAATACTTTAAATAATTACACATGTCCACTAACATACTGAGTTAGTGTTACTATTTATATCTGTTGCCTTTGTGTTCAAACTAAAGTGCTGCATTCTTGTGTGTTTTGCTCATTCAGGAAGGTCCTCATTATTACTACCCCAATGTAGACTACAGACCTCCTGTCACCCCACACCCGGAGGAAATCCACAGGCCGGGTAAGGACGCACGCACCAGTCTGTCATATACAAGCAATTTTACTCCATTGTGTTAAGTGTATGCATATTCTGTAGACCACACTCATTTATATGAAGAGGTAAAGGACTTGGCTCTGTACCAGGATGTACCTACTTCTCCTCTCCCTCCCCTTCCACCATCTCTTGACCAGAGATTGCCTCATCAAAGAAATGAATGGAAACTGCCTGTCTTCCCTCCGGTGTGTAAAAACCACTTACATGTGATTTGAGGCATAATTTGAACCAGTTAATGCTGTGAATTTTCTTATAATATGAACAGCTTACTCACTGTAGACTTTCATCAGCAGTGTAACATGCTCTTAATCTGTGTTTTAGCTTGTTCAAGAGCAAAAGCCTGTCAGTGTCCAGCAGGCACCAAAATATTCGGAACTTCCTTTTGAACTCCGAGGAGAGCTGGTGTAGTACGAGGATGGTGCATCACTCTTCAAACTTAACATTGATGACAACATTGAACAGAGGCTATTACTCAAGTGCACTTAATTAATCTTCCATCTGATGAGCAGTGTACCTTGAATGTATATTGTATTTGCAGTGCCTTTAAGTGTTTTGATATTTGAGTTGTTTTGACTTTGAAAGTTGAACAAAAATTGAATAAGGTCAACCAGGTAAATACTCCCATAGTCAAAGACATCCTATTTAATGACAAACAAAATATTTGCTAAAATTATGTGTTATCTATTTTTACTGATGACATCAGTAGCCCTTTCCATTACGAGCCTTCTTCTCTATTTGTTTTAGTGCAGTTGTGTCTTATTGTATGGCCTTGTGGCAGACTTAAGTAAATTTCGCTATTTGATTATTTGTTGTGTTTGAGCACTAAAGCCTAAACATGCTTTATTTTAGGTTTTAACATGTATACTCAAAATAGTTATGATTTAGACTTAGATTTAGTGATAGGGTATCAAATATTTGTATCTAGACACACAATACAAAATCATGCTCACAAATTGCTTAAATTTCAGTCGAGTTCTGTCAACATTTATGATAAGTATGACTCTCAGTATTTAAATAGCTTTGAATGAATACTTGAGTTCATTTGTTGTCACCCAAATAAACATAATTAGTTTTGAAGAACTAACAGATAGATGTAAAAGAGTACCTGGATAACAAATCCACCAAATGTCTCCACACATTTAATTATTGCTGTGCTACAGAAAACTATTTAATTTTCTGTATTTCACATAATTTCTATGGCTTATTGATCAGGCAGATTGTGGCTTGAGGCTGCTCATGTGTTGCCATGTCAAAACAAGTCACATTAAAAATAACTTTGACATGGCAGAACTTTTTGTTTTTGTTTGTTTTGAGCGCCGCTATAACTGCTAAGACAAATCACAAACTTCCTCTTTCAGGTTCCTGTTGCTCTGTGATAAACACAAAGTGACGATGTTCTAATAATATCCAGTGTGATGGATTTCAGCGCTGTTGTTCTGTCATTTCCTTTTCTAAGTATCAACCCATGAACACCTTTTTGATGCTGGTGGACACTGTAACATGCCGGCAATCTTCTTAGTAAGGCCTTTATTGTATGTACCATGTTTTATGATGCTTTTAGCCCTCTTTCAACAATGCCATGCTGTTTGATTGCTGTGAAATTCTTTGTCAAGGCCAGCAATAATGATAAAATTCTACATGGTTATAATTCTCTAAATTCCTCTTCCTCCTTCGTTCGCTCACAGATAAATTTCTATGTTTCACTGAGCAGTGTTTCCTCAATTAGGCCTGCTATTCTCCATCACAGGCTGTCAAGGTGTGTTTGTCTCATTACTGAACGATTGTTTAAGTCCTGTCAGGCTGACTGCTGTGTTCATAGCAAATGTCTGTTCTTGATGCATCGCTCCAGTGCAGGCGGCAGCAGCCCTAATCTGCTAAACTCAAGCTTTGACAGCTCAATGCCATACATTAGCAGCAGTTTTTCCTCACTCCCACTCTTCCTCACTCTTCTTGTACTTCAAATATTTGAAAGATGATTTTAAATGCATGTACTAATTTGAATGCTGTCAAAAGACAAATGAGAAATGTAATTATCATCACCTGTAATGATTTAAATAGAACTCATATACAGCAGGTAATTGTTTCATTCTATTATAAGAAAAAATTTTTTTTTTTTTTCCAACAGTAGATCTTTACAAAAGGTACAAACAGTTCTTTTGTGAGTAAAGACCTCTGCTAAGGTATTGTTTTCACCTCTTTGCAGTAAAAAAAAATATGGTGCCAAGACCTAGCTTTAACTTTGAAGGCTACTCCAGTTGTATCTCACAATAAAGATTGTTAGTGAGCTAAAAATCACAAACTTTCCACCTTTGTTCCTATTTCAAATAGTTATTCACAGTGACTTATTCCTCCCTAAAAACATTATAAAAATTAAAAAGTATGATTTTACTTTATATGGTTAAAAGTATTTTCCATACTAGCCTTAAGATTTTTCACGTTTCTGTGTGCAGCGTAATAAAACACTGGTATAGAAGGGCGGCTTAGTTTTCTAACACTTCTGCATAATTTTGCTTGGCATTTTGTGGATATACTAAATAAAAGAAATTGAAAACAACCCCTGGTTTTATAGATGATTATATTGGCAGTCACCGTGGGGCACTGCTGTCCTGTTGTCAGTAATGAGAAGCTAATTTGCCCTCTACTTTGGATCAGCAAGTACCATAACAAAAATAATAGTAGCATGAAATAATACTGGTTAAAGTTAATCAGGATGGATATGGCCGGGTAATAAAATTAAAGAGCCTGTTATCTTGTTGTAATGGGTAAATGCATTTTAAGCTTAGTGACCTATGTACAGTAATCAGTGGTCAAGGTGTTCAGTGATCAAAATCTGTTTAAATTCATTAAGTGCAGTCAGTTTAAAAAATGAAAACAACAGACCTATGCTCAGAATCTGATCTGAGGAATATTTCCAAGGTAAGATTCACAAAACTGTTGAATTTGATTAAAATATTCTGTGTGGCATTCACAAAGGAGAATATTTCATGATGTCTTTTTGTATCTGACTCATTAGGTCTGAGATTGAAAGTTTCACTTGGGCAAAGATGCGTGAAAAGAAGGAGAGGCTGTCAGAGAAGAGGAAATACTGTAGTAAGTCCAATTTTTAATAAACTAAAAAACATTTTTAAATCACTGAATATTTTACAATACTGGAGAATACAGGCTGTACATAGTGTTCAAATTGTGTTAAAATGAAATAATGTGACAGAATGTGAGGACAGGCTGAACTAAAAGAATTCCCTCAGAATGGACAATAGACTGCTCTACTGCTCTGGGTACAAATGCAGGCTTTGTCTGTCACAACAATCTGTGTTTATGATTCAATATTTTGTAATGCTGCTGGGTCACATGTGCACTTCCAACCAATCATAAACGCTTAAGAGAACTACATTTGCATTTACATTTATAAAGGTGACATTCATAGAGCAATATTGCAAGTAATTTTGCTGCAGTTTTCATCAGTTTCACTATTAATCTGCTAAAATGTAAAACTGAAGGCTTATGTGAATTAAACATTAAAGGTAATTAAAGGTATGTAACCTCTGGTGGAGGTGTTTTTCCATCAATATTCCACAGCATGGCGTTAAATTTGTCAATCTCCCTGACACCTGTTAGGGAATAAATGCACAATGGATAAGTTTAATGCCTTACTGTGCAATATTACAGGCAACGCAATGTCTCCATAGACACAGGTGGTGGACCCCCCACTAGAAAAGTTACATAGTGTACCTTTAAATAGTGGCTAATAAGACCATTATGTAATTATCTAATTACATGGAATTATAAATATAAACGTAATTCAGTAGGCCTATACATAGTGTATTATTATTTATTTTGAGGTATGCTATAATACTGAATTGGATTGTTGCTCATCAGGTCATTTTAATAGAACTACATATGATGCAGTGCATAATAATTAATCAATGTGCCACGAGAACTATAGGAAAATGGCTGGGGATTAACTTTGTTTATGCAAAATTTAGCTTGAATCACTTTCTCAGAGTTGAAGTAATTGTAATTATCATATCCTAAGAATTCACATTGTTTATGTTATTCAAAAACATTTGTCTTTATTTCAGAATATAGAAGATGCACCCTGCACCATGGAAGCACAAAGGGCGCCCACCACCAGAATCCTGTCATGAGGTCGAGTGGGTGAGACTCACGCATAGCAATTGTGGATGAGGAAGTAGCACTGCTGAAGCACATGGGTTGGACCAGACATTCAGTCACAGCATGCACCCATGAGCCAACATCCTGGTGTTCCTCAGACGACCCCCAAACATGGATCCCAAGGTAATCCCACTCATTGCCGGGCTGGATAGATGACTAAATACCAGAGGGCTAAAAGGTTGTTTACAAGAGCTGTGGATACTGATGTGGGATGACACGCAGATGGATGAGAGGACAGACAGGGAGCGGAGAGGATGTGACACAGAGGCAGCAGGTCAGGCTTGGGGGATGGAGACAGAGACACCTATACCGCCCAGAGGGAACTAGCCTGGTCTTGACATATGCTCTGGAGTGTAATGGGAATTGGCAAGACCTGCTAATGTTACCTGTCAGTGCTTATCATGTGGTTAAACGTTCACCTGTCACAGCGCTGGGTCCAGTGTCATTGGTATAGGTCAGAAGATGCATATCCATTTTGTATCAAACCAAAATATCTGTAAATGTCTGTTTAACATAAATCTATTTGCTTTTAGAGGTATTTGTTATGAGGAGGAGGAATGCTGAATGCTTGGAGTCATTCTGACACATCCTTCAATGTCATCTGTAATTAAAAATAAAGTGTAAATAATAATGTCAATAGTGGCAGCAAGTACAGTGAGCGTAGGTGGATTTTAAACACTTTTCAGTATTTTTTGTTTTTGCAAAGAAGATATGATTGACATGTGGTTCCGCATTTCATTCAAAGGAAGCAGTAGCATGTTTGGTAACCCTCATGACTCACAGCTTCCTGACGGTTGGATTAATGCTGTACAAAATGTACCGGTAACTGAAATCGGTCTAAATTGGGAAATTATATATTATAATTTTGCACCACTTTATTTTCCAGTTAGTATTATCTACTCCATTACCAACTGTTTACATCTGCTTGTCTCCATGGAAATGTTTTTTTTTTTCCTAGATTGTTTCTGAGAATGGCATTATATTTCCATGGAGACAAGCAAGTGACACAGTTAGGTTAAATTACAGGCCAGATCTGAGGAGAGGAGACTCACTTCACAGTAATGCATGTTTTTCAAATTATTTTTGAGCAGTACTGTCAGTGGTAGTTTACACAAAATGGAATAGTTTAATTCCATACTGTGGAACATTCCTGACAAAGCAATAGCCATTTAACATTATATTGTCTCTTCCTGGAGACAAGCAGGTGTCCTGCACCAAAAAAGTTACAGTGTGCACCTGTAAATACCACAGAGTCTGCTATTTCTGTCTGCATGACTGCATTTCCTTTCTCCCTGTTTTTTTTATGTTTTCAGATTTATTTGGCCTCTTTGACTTTTTTCTTGCTCATCGCCTCTGTAGGTGAGTGCAAAGAAGGATTTTCACAGAGATAAATATTTAATTACCAGTCAGAGAAAACACAAGTTGAATGCAGTCTAAAGTGTGGCTTGCGAATAGGGAGCAGCTTGAGAGCCAGTAAACTTCTATTTGCATAAAGGTGTGTGATAAATATGGAAGGGAGAGCGTTTAAATATTTATGAGGGTGACAATGCAGACGACAATCCGTTTTGTCCTCAAATTATCTGACATCTTTGAAATGATTTAAATTGTAATGAGGTACTGTAGGTAGCTCTATACTGTTTACTCTGGGTACAATTATTGCAGTTATTGTTGGGTATTATTATTGTTGTTTTATTTTGTCTCAAAATAAAAACATACTTTGGCATAGTGAGTGCTGGTAGTAATTGTAATGGAAAAGGGGTAGAATTAGGGGAGAATTAAAGGAAACACTTAATAATAACTGCAATTAATAATAATAACTCAAATTAATTCATCTTAATAAAGAATAAACAAACACTTAATTACATAATTTGGAACTCATTTAATTAAGAATGCTCAATAACTACTTAATTAATACCCTAACCCTAAGTCCTAAACCTAACTCCTTAATTCAGTAGTTACTAAGCCTAAATCATGCTTAATGAACTATTTGTTCATTAGGTATTAAGTCTTTGTTCATGCTTTAGTAAGGCTACATAAGGGGTAGTCATTAAGTGGTACCACATCTTTTAATCTCTTGCCTCTCAAATACATTTTTTAACAATAGCAGAGATATCATTTTTTGTAACAATAAGCAATGGATGCTTAATGCTTACTTTAATATTGTCTGTATATTTTTACTCTTGTAGGCCTATTTGGATTCCAGCACTGGTAGCAACAATAGTGGCAATAATAAAAGAATGAATAATAACAGTTTTAATACACTGTTGCAATAGTAATTATAAAACTAATGTCTAGCAGCAACTCCTCTACCTACTGCTTTTACAAGTACATCAGTATTCCACTTGAATACTTATCTCTCCTCCTCCACTTTCAGTCATCTGATAGTTCGTTTATAAACTGCTTGGAATTCCAGTATTAACTCAGAAAGTGGTGGTTTTGTGGCGTGGCTGCTCTAATTGGAAGGTGCTGAGAGGGTAAAACAAACAGTCTTTTTGTCGTGCAGTTTTCCACCACACTCCCGCCTCTGTTATTGGCCCAGCCTGTCACTCATAAGATGTCTCTGTGACTCCCCTGCATGGACACACACACACGCCACTCTTTTTGTCTGAGTAAAAGCTTAACAACATTGTGCTTTGTTTTGTCTGTAAAGTCTGTTCTGTATGAAGAACGCAGTGTGAGACTTTCTTGAACTTATTTTTTTATGATTAAACGTCTTTTTCTCTGCAGTGCCAAACGCTCAGACTCAGGCTCCTACAACTTCACATTATGAACAGCATGGGACCAGCCACATGAGTGAGCCGACCACAGAGTCCTCTGTTTCCGCTGGTATGCCACTTGTGACTTGTCATTGTTGAGATGCCACTTATTAGCTGACTCTCTGGAATATATCTCTGACTGCGGGTGCATTCACACTTACACAAACACTGCATCAAAAGTGGCACTGAACAGAGACTAATCCTGGAACTAAATGTAGAACAAGACTAAACCAGAACTAGAACAGGTCTAAAACAAGTCTACATCAGGGCACCCATGTCTTATAAATAGGGCTTGATAGAAACACAAACCAAAAGCTTGAAGATATTAATTTGACTACTACACATTAAGTCCTACTTTGATCAGCTCAATTTCATACATAGTCATTCTAACCATTGCTTACTTATTCTGCATAATTACTAAAATGTAAGCCGTATTTTAGTCACATTTGTTCTTGTCCAGAATCTATTTCAAAAAATGTTTTATTAATTTTTGAAAGGTGCACTGTGTACTATGTCATTTTCTTCATGGATGTTATTGCTTTGCTTGTAAAGTTTAACACAATGCCATTAAAGTATATATTTAGAATTTATTTAATTACACGTGTTTTTATTGCTCAAAAATACCTTTTCTATTGTGAGCGGGATTGCCTCCACACAGATCTGGCTTGTAACTTGACCCGGTGGTGTCTCCATAAAATAGTCAAATTTAATGCCACACTGAAATATTGTGAGCCAAGAAATAACATCCCTATGAAGAGAAGCAGGTAGCATAGCCTCCACTAGAAAAGTTACCTTTAAAGTCAGAAGTGTGTGTTTTACAAATTGTTATCAGACCTTTACAACTATTGTAATTGTGACCAGTTCAAACCCTAACTGATTTGCAGCATTTGTCTATAAGTCTATAACAACACTTCTCACCTAACCTTTTTGTATAGTAATGTAAATGCAGAATGTATAATACATTTTGACTAATCCCAGTACTTTTGGGTTGACTCTATTGGGAGGACTCCCTTGACACTTATTTGCATGTGTTTTTGTAACAGAAAGAAAAATGGAAACGAGAGTCACCAGAGCATCTGACTCCTCCCATGTCACTTCCCCTGGTGCAAAAACCACAGGTTTAAACAAGAACAGCACAAAGTACACAACCACAGCAGGAAATAAGACACCAACAGGTAAACCAGCAAGGGCCCAATGTAAACCAATTCATAGTGTATATACCGTCTTTCTTATCTATCCATTATGTCTGTAGTCACCTCATATGACCTTTTGTCTTCATACAGTTGTTCCGAGCAAGTCCACAGCAAGGCCATCAACAACTACAGGTGCTATTTTAAGTCCTAACATTTCTTTATCAAAAACTGCCAGTGGATGGAGCCACTGTGTTTGGCTCTTTCACTTGTAGCTTTGACCCCAATATTTGTAAAGCATCTTTAGTGAATGTTGGATTCAGATTTTCAAATTCTTGTGTGTAGTAAAAGTACATATTTCTGCCAGATAAAGGTAAAACTAAAATACTTTTTCTGATTGAATAAAAACATAATTGCTTAATATGTTGTAACTAATTCATATGATTCAAATGTGCACAACAATGCATATACAGCTAAATGTCTAAAGTTGAGGTATTTTCACTAAAATTATGAAATATAATGGATCTCCCTCTTCTGTCTCTTCCTGTCTTCTCTTGCCTCCCACCCTATCTCTGCCTTTCCCTCCCTCTCTTCTTCTCTCAGCCATACGTACCCCACCAGTCCCAGTGAAACCCTCCGCTGCTGTTGCCTCTGGTAACTTGAATATCTGTGTTTTCCATAGTTTCCTTAAATGCCACAGGCATAGCGGGTTATTGTTATCTGGTGGCAGACTGACGGTATCAGTGTTCCCTGTCCTACAAACAAAACCCAGGCATAAAGATAAAACAAGATTCTCGTCTGTCTGTGACACCCCATTGTACCTTATGCAACAGGGCATTGATATGTATGCCACCCAGCTGTGTGTCTCAACATAGATGGAGTTTTGATGTGACTTTGATACTGTAGTACTCATTTTTTGACAAACTTAATTCAGAATGTTTACAGTTAATGTTTTCTTATTTTTTCTTTCAGATCCAATGTGGGACAAAGATTTCACCTATGGTAAGATGCAAATCACATCAATAATCTTTCACAATATAAAATTAAAAAAATATATATGTTTATGTGCTGCAGCTTTCTGTTTATTCAAAAGATAGAATTATTTGTTTTGAATTGTTAATTGCCATGGCAATGGTGCTAATTTGTCATCACCCTGAAACCAATAAATTAAATAAAGTAAATTGCTTATATGCTGTATTGAGTGTATGTTTCCTAATAGACTTTCCATTGCAGATTACACCACTCTGCGTCATGCTGGCCTGTCCATAGCAGCAGTGCTTTTCATTGTGGGTATAATGGTCATTGGCTGTAAGTGTCACATTTGAAGTTACTTTGAATTCACCTTAAAACAAAGCTGTCAGCCATGTCTAACATTTACCTATTTTTGGATTATAGGTGGAAAAGTTTGTAAAATGCCTAAGTGTCATAAAAGGGCATCAAAGTAAGTTTATTGACAATGTTGATTATGAGAAATGTTTGACTGCAACACACTTTGTCCAATTCAAAGTCCATTGTTTTAGCTTCAGTCTGTACAACAGTGCAGTTGGATGGAGGATGATATATGACCAACAATTATTTTGGCTGTGTAATAACTCAACTCTGTGCTGACTGGGAATTTGTGATGATTAATAGATCACAATGATTATGATAAAGCTATTTGTTGGGCAAACCATGACAGGCAAACTGAAAACCAATCTGTAGTCCAGTATCTGTGTCTGATAAATATGATGGATTGCTTTAATGTGGATACTTTCTGTTTTGTGTTTACTCTTTAGGTCGTACCAAGTGGCCCAAGCATGAGAAGGAAGTAGAGAATTACTACAATATTTTAGGAGGATAGACTACAATGTGCTCTGAATATTTAAAGGCACAATAAGTAACTTTTCTGGAAGGTTCGCCATGTGCTTGTCTTCATGAATGAGGTATTTCTTGCCTAGAATGTTCCACAGTAGGTTATTAACCCCCACGTAAACAAGCAGGTTTCAGTAGGAATGCAAGTTTTTCAAGGTATTTTTGAGCAGTAAAAATACATGCAGTTCAAAAATGCATAAAATATTTGTCAGATGCCATACCTTGGAACATTCTATGTAAAGCAACATATTTTCATGGCAGGTGACAAACTGTCCCACCAGAAAAGTTACATAGTGCATAAGTTCACACTTGGGAGAATTAAACTCAATGTGTCATCCTCTACTTGTTGCATTTTGGGTAAATATTAAATAATTATTTTAACACATGTTTTGTACAATTACTGTGTTATATTAATTTAATGTTAATGTCTAGCTTGGAATTAGTATTTCACTTATAGTCACAAATATACAAACTGGCACAAAAGTATCAAACCAAATTATTATTTTAATAATGCATGTTAGAATCTATAAACAAATGTTACAAAATCCAACCCCCATTTGTTTTGTTTTTTACACAGGTTATAAATAAGATTTTTGATAGAGCAGAAACCACTTCTCCCCACAGAGCAATTGGAGTTATAGTATATACATTAAGATTAGAAACATAAAAGTAATCATGCATTTAAACTATCCACATGTAGGAATACATTTATTGTGATATTGTGGTAAACTGATGAATAAAGCTACTGTATAAGTGGTAACATGTTAAGACTGAATGTGATTATGTGGATATAAAAATATTGAAATGTTTCATTTAACATTTGACCAATTTGCCTTACATTTCTTGATGACTTATTGGGCAATGCTACAAGTACAAAACAACACAAAAACATATCATAAGAGGAATGAAAGATACAGGAGTGGGTGATTAAGAGTGTGTGGTACATAGCATTTAAGTGTATTTAAGGCACTGCACATCCTGATCCAAACATGATTGCAGCTTCAGGAGGTGTGGTTTGGCCAGGACACAGCCGCCCCCAGCAGAGAGCAAGTGGGAAAAGCACGGGGAGATGATTAGACAGATCCAAACACTGTCATTATCAGTGTTTGACTTCATTTGTAACTTTACTGTGAATAAAAATCTACATTTGGCCTACCTCTGCACAGGAGACAGCTACATTACCCTTAAGGCATTTTCCTTATGTACAAACGAAAGAGAGAAAGGCAACCAGTGCCTTGAAATGAAAGCCATTGATTAAAGGGCATGGTTAATTTCCATTTAAATAATAAAAACAGAAAATATATGCCATCGTGCTCTATACAAGTGTGACTGATATTTGCCCAAGAATGCCATTCAATCCTTTTAATGTCTCCAGAATTGAAAGAGGTATTTACAATCTGTGAAACAGAATGTTAAAGTGAAAGCCATTCAAATGAAAAGACATAATTTTATGCTTTGCAAGGTTCACACTCTATTCACGTCTGTGTTCTTGATGTGGGAGCAGGTTTTGCCTGTGTGTCGCTGCAGCAGTCAGTCAGTGTTAATGAGTAGGGCACAGATGATGTCAGACAAGTAAATGGGAAATGGAGCAGAGAGCTGGTCTGGTTTAGCATGGATCAGCCTGGTCTGTCTCACTATAAACAGGCCAGCTCCACAGACAGCAAATATGGTTTTACAGCAATAAGTAATACATTGTTCAGGTAGTGTAAAGGGGGCTCTGGCTGTGCCAAATTATCCCTTTTGACAAAATAAGCTCTAAGCCATATTCACCAGCTTTGATTTGGATTCCTCAAATGGAAACCAATTAAAGGGTTTCAACATGTTCCAAAAGTCCCAGGCAAGATAACACGTACATCAAATGACATCAGCAAAGATGAAACAATAATAGCATTTGTTTGAGACAGAGAATTGAGCAGGGAGCAGCAGGTTTGTGTGCAAAAAAAGTCCATCCTGAGTCAAAAATAGGTGATGACAAAGCATGTTGCTCCTTATTCCAAATGTGTGCTCTCTCATCCAGGAGCTAAACTGCCTCTTTCTTGTCCTGGTCGATGGGAACAGAGTAAATCCTAAAACGAAAGTAAGTAGTGAGTATAGTATATCATTAAAGATAACTTTGGAATGTTTTTCTTTCCATTTGGGACATGTACAAAGCAGAAGCACAGAGGGGGTTCTGGGACTTTGAGGCTGTGACAGGTGCACCGTGACTGCAGAGCACACCTCAACCCCAGGTGGGACTTATAAACTGGCACTACTCTGTTGATCTAACAAGCCAAGGGTTGCTGTGTGATTAAGCCTCTTTTCAGTGGAGCGATCAGTCAGCACCAGCACACTCAGAGCTGACTGCAGCCCCGCGAGGCACCTGGTAATCCGCCTGCACAAGAATTTAACCCTTGCTTATTGACTTACTTTGCACTTACAATGCTTATGCCATTTGTCAATCTGCAAAGAATAATTTGAACTCTTTGACAGGGCCAATATAAAGTCATTGGCCATTTTATTATTGTGGATTACAGGTTGTCAAATGCAGCAGGGGACCTTCTGCAGTTGTAATGAATGGTCATTAATGTTACTTTAACTTTACTATGTTGATTTGAATCTACTAAGGAAAGACATTTTAACATGAAGACCATGAGACATTTCCCCTTTAAATGCCAATAACGCAGTTTGTAAACAGTTTATATGGACTTCCATTACTATTGTGGTGCACAGATTTGCCCTGCCTTTCTTGTCACTTACTTCACTGTGACAGTACTTAATAAAATGGCCTTTGAGAGTTTATTTGCAAGTAAAGAAAAGAAACTGATTACTCTGCAAAAAGCCTTGTCCACGCTAGACGCTATTTAAAAAAACAAGTGCATAAAGAGCATACAGAAAGTGGTTGTTTATAACTGGTTTAGGCTGTTCCACTATCTGATTACTGTTGACAGCATGTTGACATGACGCCAAGATGATGCATTCACTGTCCCTTCAGTTGTGTGTAGGAGTTTTCTGTCTTTTCTGTCATTTCAGAACACAGTTCAGGAGGCAAATACTTAGAACAGGTTAGGTCCTGTCCCACTGGGTCTGTAAACCCAAAGGCAATGTCTGGAGGCTATTGTTAGATGTCTAAGATTGAAAAGGGGTTAGTAGTTGTGTTGAGTATTTACAGATTGTGTGGTGGACCTCAAGCTTAGATACTAATTGCTGATCATGTCCAGACGGGCCCAGATGGGTGGATGCTGGTTGCATGCTTTTTATCACCTGACTGTTTTTTCTGTACTTTTCTTGCTGACAAGTGAAGTAGGGCAAATTGGCAAGGCAGCTTAAAAGCTGTTACCCACCAGACTGGTTCTGTTACCTGCAGGCTGACTGACTTAGCACAAGTACAACGTGCGCCATGCATACCTTTTCTACTCATTTTGTTTGGGGGTTTTGTGTCTTGTATAAACTGACTAAATAATGAAAAGAAAAAAATTATGCAAAAAATGTCCTCACCCTTGCTGTTGTTTGTTCCTGTGTCTTCTCACTAAGAAAATGGCTGAAAAAAGAAAGATTTTTTTTTTTATTTATTAAAAAAAAAAGAAAAAAAGAAAAAAGAAAAAAACTTAATTTTAAAATTTTTCCAATACTTACCAATTACAGCTGCAACTGAAAGAGCCACAGCTACCACCGCAACAATGATGATAATCATTGTTATCTGGTCTAGAATGAGGAATAGAAAAGAAATATTAAAGCATTTGAATGAGGAATGTCATCTTGTTTATTTTACTTTGTTTGTAAGGACTTTACCTGATTCACTTTCGTCGCCTGTTATTCCATGGCTGCCAGATAGATCACTTCTTGTGCCTTGAAGCACTAAACAACAAACTTACATTACTTTAAAGTACTATAATCCATCAGGCTAATTGTTTATCTAGGTTGTATATGAGGAAAATGTTTGGGTACCCATGATCAATATTTAGGGTTATTAATCAAATGAAAGGACTGCAAACATATATAGAGCTCATTTAAAACAAGTAATTAAAACTAAGGCTTAATGAATTGTGGTTGGTCCGGCAGAAGAGACATGGGAGGCATCTGACCACAGGCCTGCAGTAAACAGCTCTGTAATTCTCTCAGATGTCCATCAGCACCGTGATGAGGAGTGACAGACAGAGGTGTGGGCAGAGAATGAAAATGCCAATGTCGATTAGCTGACCAGCGGGATGGCTGAGATGTCAACATGTTCATTGGGCTTTCAGCAGAAGACACGGGCCTCTCCAGGGAGCTAATTGATTCCATTCAGACTGTAATGGTTAAGAGGAGGGCAAGGCAACAGAGGCTATACTGGCCACAAATCTGCTCGGACTACAAGCGCTATACACCGCTAATCTACACACAATAACTGCTCAGGCCATAACCCCTCTGCTCTTTCTTCAAGAGTGTGTCCTTTTGGGTGATAATGGGAGAGTTCCTTGTGCCCTGTGCACCTCACAGTGGACTGTGGGGTGTCAAGGTAATAATAAACTTACATAAGTCTTCATCTTCATCGTCAAATACTGTAAAAGAAAAAGAGAAATCAAGTTAACACTAGGTGACAGTCATCATCAGTAAAAATATCAGTGAGATAATATTGTCGCATTGTTCAATTACATTTGAATATTGACAATTGATTCATTTTATGTCATCCAAAGATATCTTATATTCTCTTGAACTGAACCATGTACACACATGTACAACCAAACCAAAGACTCTAAATTTAAACATTACAAAAGCTCTTCTTCTTCTATAAATGCCATAATAAATTAAATTGTTAGTGTCTTATTGACTGAATCAAATGAATCATCATAAGAGCTCTGAAAATAAACCAGTATGAAGCAGAATTCAAACACTGATGGCTGTATACGCTGGTCTGGTGTTTACTAACTTTTTGATATTTTGATATTTATAAAACACGAAAATTAAAAAAACAAACAAACAAACAAAACATTGGCAGGGCGTATTGGCCATCAGCTGCTCTAGATTCTTCTAAAAAAAAATAATTATTTTATACTCACGATTCGTTCCATCGCCAGATCCGTTCTCATCCGTATCCCTATTCGAATGAGCTGTAGAGAAAGCAAACAGCAGTACATGCAGTCAACAGTTTTAACTCAATGACATTCAAACTAAAAATCAGGTCTGCCCCCCAAAAAACAGAGAAATGTAACCTTTGTGTAATAATAATATATGGAAAAATTTATAAATGAATCAAGTAAACAATACGCGATAGTTACTGCCATTGTATCCTTCGGCAAGACACTTCCCCCACCTCTCCTCGTCTGACTGTGAATGAATGACTGATACAATGTAAAGTGCTTTAGGTGTCTTGAAAGGCACTATATAAAGCCAATTCATTGTTGTTAATATTGTATGCAAAACATTTTCTGGATTGAACTCCAGCGCATTTTCAAAATATATACTTAATCTAATTTGCTTAATTTAATTCATGTTATTGAAAGTGTGATTTGGAGCTGCATATATAAATGGTGCTGTACAGAGGACACTGTGTGTACCGATAGCACTGGTGTTGTGAGGTGAGGAAAACATGCCAGCGAAAGGATGCTGAGGGTGTGATTAGATGTTTATCAGCTGAAAGCGTCACAGCGAGATGAGAACATACCGGTAGCAGTTGGCAGCAGCAGACACAGGAGCAGCAATCGCATCATCTTCAAATGCTGCGGGGAGAAAAGACACCGTGTTAAAAATATCTGGTTTTAATATTCAGTCATTGATGTGTGTGAAATCTTGGTGTTTTGGTTTAGGGAATGTGACGGAAAAAAGTAGAAACGGTTGGTGTCTATTATTGGAGTTTGGAGTCAAAAAACACAAGTCAACAGTAATGTCACAATGCCAATTTAAGTGTTTAAGGGAGTTTTTTCTGATTATTGCATGTTTGATTTGTGTTTATTTTCTGACTAATAGGTTATAGTACTTGTCATTGTAGTAGTTGTAGTTGTTATGTTCTACCTCCAGGGATAGATAGGGGTACAGGATTTACGTTTTTTGTTTTTAATGGGTTGTGTCCTCCCACAACCCATGTTTTAAGGTATTTCTAACCAATAAAAACATTGGCAATCAAATGAAGACAGATGAGTTAAATTCTGCACTGTGGAACTTTCCAGGCAAAGCAATAACATTTCCATGGAGACAAGCAGGTGGCAAACCCTCCACTAGAAAACTTACACCACTGTGGAAATGTTGTCCAACACAATAGGCAGGATGCAAGCCAGGTCTCAATGAATGTCTCTTCCCACTCTTTACCTCCATTTCACACAGTACAACAACATACTATAAGGCATTTACCAATTAATTGTAGCATTTATTGCATCTCCAATTGGAGCTCTGAGTGGAAAAATACAAGTCAACAGTTTCAGCCAGTTTCAAAAGGCAAAAATGCAAATGTAGATTGTAATCTGAGGTAGCTGGTGACAGAGGGGTCAGTGAATAGACATCTTATTTCCCACAGTGCTCAGCAAAAAATGGATACTTGTTCTGTCAGCAAATTAGTCCACTTTTTTCCATTATCTTTGCATAATTTTCTACCAGAGGATTACAAGCAAATCCTAAATGCAAAGCTATTATGGTAAAAAAAAAAAAATACAGCATCCTTTTTTCTCTCGCCAGTGTATTTCTTGTTATTGTTCTTCTTGCTATGGTGAAATCCTCTAATTTCCTTAAGGCACCAGGCTCCAATCTTCAGCGTCACCACACTGCAAAAATGTGAATCACAGATGTTTTTCCAGGCTGTTAAACAAAGCCCCAGCTGTAGCCAACACAATGCTACTGTGATATTTTTAAAGCACAGTACATGGGAACGACCCTTGCTCAGGATTTAACAGATTTAGCAACTCTGGCACACTATCAAGTAGCGATACTCACCCCCCAAGATGAAAAGTACTGTACTATGAGATTTGAGCCAAATGCTTTGTCTCTTGGCTATGTCTATTGTATTCTGGTTTCCTATAAGATACTGTTGATGAGATAATGGAAGAAGGAGGTGACGTGCATTGTTAAGGTACGCGGTGTCAAACGGACTAAGGAAGAACGGGGCCATGCTCCTCTAAACTCCTACGCACAAGTTACCAGTGTACCATTTCCTACTCCTAACATCACTCGTCATTATACTGTTATGGAAGTGACACATGCCCACACACTGAGCAGACACGAGCATATAAAAGTATATGCAATAGGCCGAATCGTGAAAGCACCTGATTTACATATTTTTGTGAAATTTTCTATAATTTTCTGAGATTAGCGTTAAAGTGTTGAAACTAGAAACTCATTCGAACAAGTATCAATATGAGCAAAATGTTATAAATACGATTCAGCTTTCCTGAATAGTTGTAGTGTAGAATTGTCTTGATCTTTATCGGAAGTGTTAAGACCACATTTACATTGTGGAGTGAAATTTCAAAACAACTGCAAGATTTATCACAGGCAAGTTGAAATCAATATTTGAATGGTTGCAAAATTGTAACACAATATTGTAATCATGCTTCACTTGACTGTTTTTAAAGCTGGTCAGGCATTCTCAGACATTCTTCCCTCCTGTGGGACTGCAATTTTTTAAAGCAAGTTCTTAAGTCTGCTAATACTGGTTTATTGATCACATACCTCCATGTTGTGAGATATTTTAAATGTATGGCAGCGCTTATGAATTGATACATATGGTATTGTGACAAAACAAGTGATTTTTTTCCTCAAGCAATTATCAAATTGTAATTATTTCAGTAACTTCTTTTCCTGCTGAATGTCTCTCCTCACTCTTCATCCTTTCACCCTTATTTCCATCTTGGCCAATAAGGTTTGTGGCTATGGGAACAGTTTAGTGTTTTAGTTAATGGAAAGAAAATGGTTTGGATACTATTAATTTACCATTGCAAATTAGTACGGAGCTTTGAGAGTGATATATAAGTTATGATTGCTTTCTACTGAAACACCTTTCCTTGTTTCCAATCGTTAAAGCACAGCACTGCATAATCCTAATTTTCCTACTTCAGTTTCTCAATTTCGAGACAAATGCTGACCCTGTAGCGTGAAGTAGAAACAGGATTATCTTGGTGCTAAACTAGAATAACAGAATAAAAACTGTTTTAGCTGACGATATTGGAGAGAGATGTTAATCATAAAACCGAAGCTGATTGGAAGCAGCGAATGCAACTGCGACTGTTCGGGCCTTTAGAATAGCTGCAGTAAATCTCCCGCTGCAAACAGCCTAAGACATCGCAAATAAAAATCCCCTTCTGTATCCAATTTGCTTTTCAGACTCGCTTTGGGTGAAATAATAAGCTGATCCAATTTGAGAAATATTTATCAACCCAGTCCACTGCGCCTGTATCAAAACGCCTCCTGACGCCAGTATTATTTTTCAAATTGGCTAATATATTCTTGTACATTTGAATGCCGATTGAATTTGTTCTTTAATACCAGACTCTATTTGCAATGTATAATAATTGGTTCTTGCACGTTTATGATGTAGAGGTGCCAGCTGCTGTCCCCAGGCGAGAGGTTGGAGGTAAATGGTATAATAAGGGATAAAAAAGGAAGTCATCGAAAAACTTGAGAGCAATTCTTCAACAAAGCAGTTTGACAAAGAAGTGGCGCTGCAGGGCTGTTTCATTCTCCAGATTACATTTCTCTAAACCTCTCACCTGTCAGGGTGAGGAGAGGTCTTTCAACAGAGTCGACCTGTCCCAAACTATAATCCTACATGCAAAAAATGTGAGTAAAGAAGAATAAAGGAGCTTTGGGGTATACACACATTTTTGCATATTCTAGAAAATATTACTATAGTTACTTGGTAATTTCAGGTCTGGGCACTATATTTTGCATGAAAGAAACATGCCTTTGCATTAGCGCTGTGCACCATGGCAAAAAAGATATACATATAGATCAATACTTTTTCCCTAATTAAATTTTTTTAAACAAATTAATAATCTTTCAATAATAAAACAGACTTTAACCAGTGTTACTGAACCCAAATGATATTGCCAATATCTTTCTCCAATGTCTGAACTCTGCTCCAAACAACATGCTTTTACTGACAGAGTATTGGCTGTAGATATGTCAATGAAAAGTCACCAAGCTGACCATTGATGATCTGAAATGACTGGATTGATTAATTTATAATACCATTAACTGCACAGCCCTACTTTGCAGTGCTCATACAGCACTGTATAACAAAGACACCAATAAATACACCACATTTATTTTCAGACTTCCTTAGGAGTTGTGCACTGCACTACTGCACTATATTAGCTCTGGACAAGCAGCTGACAAAGAAAGACAGTGACAATTTTACCTTGTCCTGTTTGCATTCTGACCGTACATAAAGCCGCCACTGAGCACTACACTAACACAAGTGATAAAAAAGTAATTTGAAAGTGACTCAAAGCTAACATAGAGGTAAAGAAAAAAATAAGATTTAAAGAAAAATATTCATAGGTCATTTGCTATTCATTGCAAATCCATTTTATAAAAGCAGCACTTTACTTAGGTTCAGCAAAGAGAAGGAAATCCCACTGAGATGTGAAGTCAGTTTTGCCATGTCCACAGAGTTGTTTATCCAAGTAACTCATTCTGTTTCTCTTTCTTACCTAACACTCATATCTCCAATAACATACTTTTCTTTGGCAGTAGACCACATTAATGACAATATAAAGATAATGAAAACACGGTACCTCAGTTGTCAGGGAGCATAACAATGCAATCTGCAGCTGATAAACAATGAAGCAGCTTCTCGCAACACAAAAAGTTATGTGTGTGAGACCAGGCGAGCCCGAGGCCAAGCAGCAAAACAACTAAAAGGATATGAGAGTGCCTGACAATAGCAATAGGTCCTCACAGACTACTTTTATATGACAGCCCCCTCCCCCCAAATTATAAATCATACAAAATGAGCAGCCCCCATCTATTAAAAAAAAAAAAAAAAAAAGTACATATCCCAACAAAAGAAATACCAGGCAGGACAGGAAGGGGGCTGACACATCCCACCTTCACAACTTTGTCCGATGCAGACTGAGGCTAAGAGGTTTAAATATTCACAAGATATGCCCCTTTAATCAGCTCATATTACAGTTTTGGTTTATCTTCAAAACATATTAGGTTAAAAGTCATGCCCTTGGTAAGATTTAGCCTAATATTACGAGGTAAATTTAATTACATTATAAACTACTGTAATTTTCTTAATGACCAGTGTGGCTACATAATGTTTCCTTTGCAGCCAATTGAACAATTTTGATACTAGGTCTAATTGCAAATAAATAGGTTTTGTAGCTCTTGTTCAAGCTGATGTAAAAAATAAAACTTCCCCTAATAGCCTAAATGCATACTGATGACTAAAAGGTCGCTGACAGTTGGAAGAGAAACTCACCAAGGCTCACTGTCTCTCAAACCCGCGTCTACAAATGAAACCACATCAGTGTCTGTGTGGGACTGTCCGCATCTCACGGGGATTCACGACCAACTCATTCTGCGTTATAGTTACTTCTCTTCACCGGAAAACGCATGACTTTATTGCGCTGTTGCTGGAGTTTCCGCTCACTGTAGCCTAGAAAAGAGCGCAGGTAATGGTAGGGCTATAGCCTACTAATAGTCTATGTTACAGCACGTCATAAGTTCAGTGCCTCTTTCATGTAAACGGTGACAAATTACATGCGCTGCTTTTCAATCATAGCGCGTAATGAAATGTCTGTAGCACCCATGAAAGCTTTAGAGTCTCCCCCTGCGCGCTAATAGCTAGACAGGCGATGACACCATGACCCATGAGACCCTATAGCAGGTGCGCCAAAGTACAGAAGTACAGAAGAGAAGCGTGTGCAGTTCCCCCACTTAAGACAAAAGTGTGCGAGCTTTTGCTGCAGTAACAATGCACTTGTTCCCGCGCCCCAGGTGTGCCTCCTCGGATTTGGAGAGTGTCATGATTTATAAGCAGGTTATTTACTATGCATTAAAACGCAATGGGGGCACAGATAGGTCACTGGCAAGAGGTTTGAGTATGCAGTGCATTAGTCCAACTGTTGTCCATTCAGACTCAGGGCTTTATTTGCTCTGGCTGGCAGCACATTTATTATCCCGCTTTGCATGGCCCTCTCAAGTCTCAACACTACGCACTTTTAGAACTTGTGTTTGTCTAGTTTTGAGTAATAGTCAGGGAGGGGCTATAACGCTTTAGTTAGACAAAAGATACTAATCCGTACAGGGTTGTAGATGATTGCGGTTAATAATTGCTCTATTGAGAAATTTACGGTCTTTTTACAGTCTTTAACATTAGTCTTTAACATAGCCAATTATATTTATGCAATACATGGAACAATATTTTGTCTTTTACTACTTTCTAGGTCTACAGTTTTCATTGCATTAAGTGTCTTGATCCATAGACCTACAAAGAAGAATGCAGTGTGCAGAATAATAAAGGTAATATAATGAAACTTACTTTAAATCTACGTAGAGTGGTTTGGAGTCGCTGTCAGTGCTGGTATGTCGCTCCACGCCAGATCCTTGTTGACATGAATATGTCAGTGTGTGTGTGCAGGTTAACACAGGTGTACTCAGGAAGAACCAGGAACTGCACTCGTAGTGGCTGCTCATTGGCTGCTGTTTGTACCAGACACCGCCTTATCTGGCTTTTACAAGCGTGCATACAGCGCGCACTAGAAACCTTATACGTGCTCATAATAGACAGGAAAATTGGCTACTAAGCATTTGTAATAGAGTAAACTAAGCAGCCTCATCTGCATTTGTGTATCATTTGTTGACCTACTTTTACCTTTGACAGAGCTGGAAAGTACCTGAACTAATGCATAGGCTTTAATCCTCTTTAGAAGTGCTAAACTATGGATGGTGAGCACAAGTGAACTTTATACTTTAAAAAACTTTCTCTCAAGTAATCAATCATATTGGTGAGTACTTTTACATCTCAGCCTTGAGCTTTCTGTGCACATAAGGGGGCATCTCTGTGAATGGCAATCCTTTCTGCTGCTGTTTGGGCATCTGTCAGAGTAGAAGTTTTAAACTCCGCCTTTCTCTCCTCCAATCAGTCAAAAACACTTGTATCTCCCCTAGCTTGTCAGTGGAGACAGCACACTCATCTCGATCCGCCCAGCTTCAGGATGTGTTATATTTATTGCTTCAGTTTGTACAGGGACAGGTGGTGACCAAAACATTAGTTCTTCACATGGGGAACCACTAAGTATGGATGCCTTTTGTCATTATGTATTTGAAGAAATCTGAGAGGGCAGGTGAGGTTGTTGTAATAAAGGAGTACCCAGTGATGTAGAAATAAATCAAATAGCACAAGAGTAGTAATGAAAGGCAGCAGACTCTGGATGTCTAATGTAGGAAAAGTTTTCTTACCATCAGTATGAGACCCAGAGGCACTCAGCACATTATGATACTGCCCATTCAAGTCTGACCATGCTTCCACTGAAACCACTGTGAGTAGAAAGCATAAGGAAAGGAGAATCGTACAACAGATCAATGGACATTTTCCCATCTTTCCTTCTTTATCATATTTTTATTTGTTAAATTATGTTGTTGTTTTATTAATGGGCATATATTATGCTATATTTTGATCTGTGTTATAATGTTTCCTTATTACAAACATACCTAGAGTTTGCTTCATGCACACATGTTTAATACACAAATCCATCATATTTAGGCTGAGTTAATCTCTCAAGCAGAAACCACTTGGTTCCACTTTCTGATCATAATACAGGCAGTGTTCCATTGTTAAATGCACATTCACTAGAATCATTTAGATAATTTCAGCTCTGGAAGGGCCCATTTCTACTTTACAAATTTAACTATTAACTTGAAAACTACATCTTCATGGCATCACAAGGTGGAACAGGGAATTTTGAGCTTTGGAGACGTAGATGGACTTATAATAAATGGTACTCAAATGTGTGAATGAAACAAAACACAACTCCAGGTCTGTTTCTGATGAGGTTTACAACATTCTAGCATGGCTTAAAACTCACAAGAGTGAATTTTGCACAATACATGACCTTTAACTGGGGTTTGTGGATCCTAAGCCAGAGCTATTGTATTTGTAACACTGGTACTTGTATTTATTTTTATGTATAATTATATGAATTATATAATAATAATAATAATAATAATAATAATAATAATAATAATATGAAATAATTTCCATTGTGCATGAATAAAAGTAAGATCTGACTTAAGTCATGTGAAGTTATTTGGAATTTCTCAGTTCAGCAAATTTGTAACAAAAATATTTTCTATTATCAAATATTCATTTTATGTTTTGGTAACAGCTCTATAATTCACTGTATATGTTTTACTGGCAATGGTGACGAGTCTTATATTATTACTGAAATTGTACAATAGCTGGAGGTGTCATAGAAGTTTTTACCATTTGTGACTATAATACCAAACAGCCAGCATTACTCCTTTTTCAGCTTGTTTCCTTTTGACGTGACAGTGCACAGCCATTTTGACACTGCTGCTTTAGATGATATCTGATAAACAATGTTTATGTTTGATGCCAGAGATATCAAAGGGCAATAGCAACATGGACTTAGCTTAAGTCTGTGACACACTTCTCCATTTTCTCTGTGCAGTTTGACTCACTGAAGCACGCAATTTGTGACAGTGTCTTAACTTAGCTACTTTGAGAAACAATATACACACATCAATCAAACTGCTATGCATATCATTTTAGTTGTAACAGCGCTGGTGCTATAATGATGCAATTTTTTATGTTGTCTGGACAGAGTGAAAGCAGAGCTCAGCTGTAAGACATGTGGGAGAAGATTTGCTAGAGAAATAGGGCTGGAGTAGTAAACAAAATAAATAATTAGTTAACTATAAACACGCCCTGTGCAGTGCCAATAAATAGTTGATGTGTGCTGATGGCAAAAGTTCAAAACCACTAACTGCTCTATGATCTGACCACTGACCAGACTAGACTACATGGCTCATGGGTCTTCACACAGCAGCAAATATACGTAAGTATGCACAAGTATGCACAAGTATGCATAAGTATGCAAGTATACATGCAGAAAAATATTGAGAAGTTGTGTAGAAGTAGCTAATGAAAAAACCAGAACAACTCACAGAATCACATCATGTCTCCTCTTTTCTGCTGTGGTATAAATCCTTATTTTCTAAAAAAAATAAATAAATAAATAGTCCACTGGTAAAATGTGGAAACTACATTGGGCACATATATGCTTTGCATTGGCCCCTTGAGGTGGCCTTGATAGGTTCAGTGCTGAAGTGCAAAAATAAAAAAAAATAAACGAACCAGCTCAAGTTCCTTTCAATATGTGATAATGGTGTGTGGACCTATTGTTCTATAATTGAACTAACAGAGTTATGGTGCTTTTTAAACTCCAGTTCTAAAACTCAGTACGTAAATATTCAAACCAATTTATAATGTCAATATGACTGTGATTGCTTTAGGTAAATGGTCTCCTGCTGCCTCTTCTCTGTACATGAGTAGAATGTCTAAGTGAGACTGAGACATACTTTCTTTGGGTACAAGGTGACATATAGTCATGTAGCATAGACCTGTGAGTGTGTGGGAATGTGAGATCTAATCCTGATGGCCTCACAGTGCAGTTTGAATCAGATGTCCCTCAGGCAGAGACACTGCTGATCAGCCCAGAGCATGTTAATGTGCAAACGAACATCTGAGGATATAGTCTCCAAGATAACTTTGCAAGGGAAAAATTTTAGAGCTGATACATGATAAAGATGGAGCATTCTTGAGCTGCCAGCACTGTAGATCCACCTGTGGTCACTGGGAGCGACCAATTCAACAATGTAAACTAATCATAAACCATTTTGTCCAACTAGAAAGTACT